TTTGTTACATCAGGTGATCCGTTTATTTGGCAATCGTCAATGGCAGTCAGCAGGGTTTAAGAACATCCGTTGTTCGACCTGCTAGTCAAATGCGTTTTGTTAAAATATACTTTTTCAATTTTTTTGTCTTTTGGAAAATGTTGTTTGTGCTGTATTTAGACCCCTCTACCAAGAAATCTGTTTTGCATGCACACGTATGAAAATTTCATACGTGTGCATGCAAAAACAAAGCAATCATAGGTTTGAACGTTTTTTTCAATTAAAACTTGTTTATATTTTTTCGTTTGGGCTTGTATTATATTTGCCTTCGGGTTTATATGATCCGTTCATCATATTTCGACTCTTCAAAATTCAAGAGTCTATCCTAAATTGAGGTAAATTATATGGCCTTCCAAATACCGTTTCGATCCCTAACATCACTGAAGAGACATTAATTGTCGAAATCCGGATATGGTGTACTAATTTTTGCACCTTTTGTTTGCGGTATACCATCTTTTCCGCAGGTTTATTGTTTTCTGTTTGGTATTAAATTAATAGTTAAGATAAATTTTGTTACATCTGGTGATCCGTTTATTTGGCAATCGCCAATGGCAGTCAGCAGGGTTAAAGAACATCCGTTGTTCGACCTGCTAGTCAAATGCGTTTTGTTAAAATATACTTTTTCAATTTTTTGGAAAATGTTGTTTGTGCTGTATCGAGACCCCTCTACCAATATACAAGTCTAAATTGAAAACAACGTTCAAACCGATGATTGCGTTGGATAAAAACCGCAATTTTCATACTTGTGCATGCAAAAACAAATTTCTTGGTAGAGGGGTCTAAATACAGCACAAACAACATGTTCCAAAAGACATAAAAATATATATATATATGATGGATCCACGGTTTCTGTTAACGATTATAGCCCACTGGTACCTAAACTCTTCAATCACATAGAAAAAGATTCAACCAACATGCAGTATCTGAAATTTGCCAGATTGCAAAACACAGGCAGAGGATATATATCATTTTATACAATTTAATGCACTAAACTAGAAATTGCACGCTTAAAACACCTAAAATTACTAAAACAGCTTTTGGCCTATCATATTAGCACCGAAACAGCAGCTGAGATATTCAATGATGACAAACTACTCATGCACTGTATTCTAGAGTGTTCCATGTTAACAAAGCTGGGAAAATAGACAAAGACAGTGACATTATTCAGAACATAGAAAATATCTATTCAGGACATAGAAAATATCTGTAGAAATCTCCTGTTTGAATTGCACAATCTTAGGGCTGTAACCTGAATAAACTTTTATAATATATAAACTGTAAATATTATATCGGACTGACCTTATGAAAAGTAGTTAATGGATTAAAAAACCTTTTTTTCGTATACCACCACCATATACCGATAGCGACAAATTTATACCGGTCTTATAGCAGGGTACTCCGAAGTCAATGGAGAAAATTACCAGCAACAATAACAATAGCGCCCTCGTGCGGAATATTGTGGAACCTATTTCATTCTTTATTTGTAACTTGTTGATTTGTAACTTGTAGTTGTTCTTAAGAAACGGAACTTCTCTTTGGCTGGCAGTGGTAACATTTACGATGACACATTCTTCCAAAACGTGACTCAAACAAAGAAATTACATTTCACAAATTAAATAATGCAGAATTTTATGTAACGAACTAAGAAAATACGTTAACAATTGAAGAAATTGCATTTACACATTAAGAAGTTACATTTCACAAATCAAGAAATGTAGAAATACATGTAACGGATGGAAAAAATACATGTTACAAATTAAGAAATTACATTTTACAAATTAAGAGATTACATTTTTAAAAATTAAGAAATTGTATTTTACAAACTAAGAAATGTTTAATTATGGCGGATATTCTCTTCCATACTTAACCGCCTTTCTTAGCGGACGCTTTAAAGCCGAAACAATATTTACATGGAATATTAATTTTGTTATTTGAAAAAAGTATAATTTGCAGTTTCCCCATAGAATTTCATTCAGTAAAAGTTATATGGATCAATATATATGACAGGTTTATCGTAAAGATATATGATAAAGATTCGATACGGTTGTTCCGTACATTTTACATAGTTCAAAATTACTGAACTACAGGTATAAATTGTCTTACTTGTCTTATTAGTTAACTGCGTAATTTTGTAGTGCTTTGTCGAATTTATTAGTCCCTCAGTTCTTGGTCTCTATTTAGCTTGAGGTATGAATGAATGTATTTGGTTACCGAATTTGTTGAACAATTTGTATACTAGTATGTTGAAATAAATATGTATTTACAGTTAATAAAAGTGGTACCATGTCACTGTCTGTTATTTGTCGTAAAAGTAAATGAGGTGTATGCTCAGTCCACTGTCACATTGGGAAAATGAATAATTTCCAAAGGGAACTTGTTTTGTTTGGGAAACAATAGAAATTAGAATTTGCTCCATGCATATACAATGTAAGAGAAATGCATAGATTTCTGAACATGATTCAATATTACTTATTGAAATCATCTTAACATTACAATAGAAAAGAAAGGATATGGGGTATTCATCCATGACACTAAATCAGTACATGCACAGCAAAAAAAAAAAACAAAAAAAAACACGAAGCAACAGCGCTTTTATTGCTGTTCTTAATCTCAAAGTCACGATCAGGCCATCAACACGAAGCAAGAAAACTCTCAACTCACTGCAAGTTTAAGACGGCCCCTAACACCTGTTTAAGCGGAATTCTTTGCAAACTGACGATCACGCAACAACTGTTTGTTTACTTTACAAGTTTAATTTCAGAGGATTACACGAACAATCAGTGATACAAAAAGGAATATCTCATATAGAGTTATGTTTTATATAAAGAATAGCCAAACAAAATATATTTTTTAAGAAAATGAATAATTTCCATAGGAAACAGACCACAAAAATATGTCCCTGGGAAACTGTACATACTCAACTGGTATTCATGAAAAGTTTCACAGGGAAATAGAAAAGTAAAATGGTACTTTTTACTCTTAACTTATTTTCCAGGGAAATATTTCTTATATGGTTTCCCTTGGAAATAAATTGATGACAAATTTAGTCAGCTGCGAATTAAAGCGGTTCGGCATCGTCCATCTTGTTTATTTTTTTTTTCGTGCTTCTCTGACTTTTTTCTTATAAGCGGTATGAAAAATTGAGAAAATATTAATATAATGGAAGTATCAAAAAGGTCAGACGTCAAACAGACATATACATTTTCTGACTCAATACTGTTATTCCACTCCCTGTACAACTAAGATTAGCCACTAAGCTAGGTGTTGATAACTGTGAGACTGTGTATCAAAGGCGAGAACAAAAAACACTTTACTGATACCATAAAGTTTTATACATATTTAATAAAATATAAATTGATATAACCCGAAAGATGTGTAACGTCCAGTGGCAATTATCAAATGCGTATTCCGAAGACAAAATACCCTTTCCTAAATTTAGATATTTCAGCCCTTCACACGTATACTAAAATTTACTACATAGAGATTATTCTTCGTTTCCTATTGTTGATTTTTTTTTTGAACAGTGATGTTCCTTTTGGTTCCATCTTACTGTGTTTATATAGCATAACTCGTTCGCTACGCCCGAAAATGTTGTGGTCCTTTGTAGCTTGCTATGCGATCTGGGTTTTGCTCATTGTTGAAGGCCGTACGGTGACCGTATGGTTGTTGATATCTACGCCCGTTTGGTTTCTGGTGGATAGCTGTCTATTGACAATGTATTATCCTTAGCATATGCCCGACGGACGAAGATGGGACGTTCTATGGCTCACCATAGTCCTTCCGTCTGTAAGCACTTCAGCACTTCGTACGATAATTAAAATATTCTTAAACCAATTCCCTTTTTATTTTAACACAAGACTAGAATTGGCAGAAGAAACTTCCCTTTCGATTTTGAAAATTTTTGGTGATGTGATGTCGTTTCAGAGTTACGTAACTTAATTTTCACATATCGTGCACTAGCTCTATTAATCCGGGGTCGATTTCCTGGATGTTTTATGTTTTCTATTTTGTCGTTTCAGAGTAACCGGACTTTAATTTGTGATGTTACTAAATTTTCACACAGTGTACCATAACTTGATTTTTCTTGGATTGATTTACTAATTGTTCGAATTGATGAACATAACACACCGTTCGAATTAAAAATAAATCCAATGTCATACCATTGTAATTGGACTTTGACCGTCAGATAAATAAAAGGCATTTTCAAAAGCCATCCACAAGCTCTAAACTAAGTATGCTTTGAAAAAATTACTACAAACTTTACAGTGTTATTGGGATTGGTGAATGTAGACTGGCTTTTGATTTTGAATATTTTTGGTTTGTCATTCCAGAGTTAATGGACATTTAAACATTCCTATTTGGCGCAATAAGTTTACACCTAATGATATCCTGGTGAATGGTTTTCTACAGAGCAATTTAATTTGCTTCTGGATAAATGCCTTCTTAATATCCAATTTTGTTCTTACAATAATTTTAAAATGCACGATAAGTGAATATCATGTACTCTTGCTGCAGCTGCTTATTTTTGATGTGTAATATGATTAACAACTGTGTTGTGCGGTAGACCTGATTCAGATATTGAAAGCTCTAGTTCACAATAGTATATCTTCAGGAAGACATTGCATCTCACTCTGCCACATTTTGACTCCCACTCAACTTATCTTTGTTCTGACTTACTCTTTAATGTTACATGTTAAGCGGGTGCAATCACAAAGTATTTTGTTTTACCCGGCCTATGATCTAACACACGTGTTCCCGCAGTCGAGGCGACTACGATACATTAGACTATCTCTGCGATTGTCCGTTTGATATCCTTTGGACATTGTAGTATAGTGGTACATAAGCATATTCTGTCTCATGTGGTCATCTGTTGTAGTTACGTTAAACTTTGTCGTTTGTCATGACTCCATCTTTTTATTTTGTTAATCGACACATCTGTTTTTCTGTATTCCTTTTTTAACTTATCATGCTCTGGGGTTAGATAAATGATATCTTAATTCCGGGATTGGGTAAGTAATACTAATATTTAAATAATAAAGCTATCGACATAATTGTACACACGAAGAAAGTAAACGAAAATTTGAGACGATGTATCTTTCATGGAAATATTTTATGGCAAAAACATAGACTTCATAACAGATCTTCTGCCAACACCAATACCAGGCTGTAATTGAAAAAAAATCTATGATAATTTGTTTAAAACATTGCAATAAAATCAGGTATTTTCTAAAGTCTCAAATACATCTGTGATATATTGTGTAACGATTATCACTATGTATGCCAGTGTAACAGTTTCAAAACTCTCACCAAAATGTTAACTCTAAGAGTGCGTTTAATCTTAGTTCGTTTTGGAACACTCAGTTGGTTTTTTTTTTAATCTTAGGTCCATGAAACTCCCCTCTAATTGAAAAAAATACCTTACACAGGTCGTTATTTTATGCCTTGAAGCACATGTCACTGAAACTTGGTATCGTCCTGGTTGATACTTATATTAAATTTGATTTTAGAAAGAAATTATTAAGACACCAACGTTCAATCTACCTCTGTCAAAGTTGGCCTTAGAATGAATATGGCTATTCTTTTTATTCCCCTTTGGACTTATAGCTTCTCACGTATTCACGATATCCTTGTTACATTATATTGACGACAATATCCTTGTTACATTATTCACGATATCCTTGTTACATTATATTCACGGTATCCTTGTTACATTATTAACGATATCCTTGTTACATTATATTCACGGTATCCTTGTTACATTATTCACGATATCCTTGTTACATTATTCACGATATCCTTGTAACATAATATTCACGATATACTTGTTATGTCAAAGATTAAGGATTTCAGTTAGTAATTTGTGCAGATTTTGTTTTGCAGAACAAGCTGTTTGAATCTTTTTGCGGAAGTTAGATTTAATCGAAAAATACCAATATGTTCTGATCCAGCGCGTTAATAACCAAACGATGGTCCAAATACTCATATGGTCCGGAACAGTTATAAATGACAAAAAAAGTTTTTAAAACCAATCAAAGAAAGAAAGTTGCATATAATATGTGACGGATTGAGCTATTTGATCGACAAAATTTGAAAGTATTAAAAGTCTAAGAAATAAATGGGGAATGTGTCTATGGGACACAGATGATGCCCCCGCTTGCATATAACGTTATAAAGGGACATAACTCAAGAACGGCAAAAGTGACGCTAACCAAATTCGTACTTGATCTGAGTTTTGTGGTAATAAGCATTGTGTATAAGTTTCATAACATTTGGTTGAGGCAAACTAAAGTTAGAGTACGGAAACGAAAAATTCAGCAATGTTTCCATTTGTAAAGGGACATAACTCAAGAAAGGTTAAAGTGACGCCACCAAAATTCTAACTTGATCTTTTTTTTGTGGCAATAAGCATTGAGTATAAGTTTCATAACATTTGGTTGAGGCAAACTAAAGTTAGAGAACGGTAACCAATTTCGGGACGTACGTACGGACGGACGTACAGACGGACAAGGATAAAACTTAATGACCCCTCCGCTACGGCGGGGCATAAAAAAGGTAAATAAAGTAAGATAAAGAAAAGAACAGTTCTAACTTCATTTCTATGGTCAATTTTAGGGGAACTATTGATTACGGTTTCATTATGTACGATTACTGGTATATACAATCCATCCTAGAACAGAGAGACATCGTTGGTTTTATTGAGTAAAGTATTCAGATTTCTTATGCTGTATTATAATGAATATGAAATTTTAATATTGTGCTGTTTTGACATTAAGATTTGTCATTTCACAATTTTATATTGTAAATGCGTAAAAAATGACATACTTTTATATCACTAAAATTTGCCTTAATAAGTTGATATAGTTTTAACTAAAATGGGGTAAATATCTAGCGCTTTAATGGGTTATAATACTTTGGCGCTAAATCATCAGGTTTTTTTTAAATATCTTCCGCCGAGTATTTCACACCTAATATCAAAATACTCTAGAGCGCTATGGTTCTATGTTGATAACAGTGTTAATTATTTCGTATTTAGATTTTTATATTCTATAGGTTTTATAATCAGTTGAATGTATAAACATTGATTTAGCTTGATAAAATAATAGAAATGCTGCAAACATAAAATACAAATATCATATATAATGGTAAAACAACGGATATGGGGTGTCGACCCATTACACAAAATCAATACATGCACAGCAAAAAAACACACAAAAAAGCAAAGGAACAGCGCTTTCATTGCTTTTCTTCGTCTCAAAGTCACAGTGAGGCCTTCAACACGGAGCAAAAAAAAAAAAAACAAAAAAAACCTCTCACATCACTGCAAGTTAAAGACGGCCCCTAGCACCGGTTTGATCGGATTTCTTTGCAGAATAATTCAGATAGACTTTGCAAGATGAAACACCACAAATTCGGGCCCGGTCAAAAAGTACATTCTGGAAAGTAGTACATATTTAAAACAAAATAGTTCCTACGCATAGGTGTAAATATCAAACTATGTAAAATATATTTGGTAATTTAAGTATCAAATGAAAGGTGAAGGACTGGTGGTCATTGTAGAACACATTTTGACTGATAATTTTGACTAATACCAAAATGAATGAATGCATTGTAAAATTGAGGGTATATAGTGCCTGTTTCTCAGATATGAAATACCTGGTTTGGTGTATCCGAAGTTTCGGTAAAAAAACTGTATATTGATCCCGCCCCCATTAATGTTTGAAAGTTACAAATTTAACGTGGATAGGAACGGGGGCCAAGAATAGGTGGTGTGCGTCTTTTTAAAACTTAAGTACACAAACTGGCCTTAAATAGAGAGAATAATGTGGCACACATAAGAGAAGCTTACTGTTATAGTTTTGAAATATGATTTTTGAAATTGATTTTTTTTAATAGATATTTTCATAAGATCGATTTCAAGTTCTGTCAATTTAAAGTTCGAGTATTCGAGTACTTATTTCAATAAAGTATCTGAAACAACCTTTTGTATAATTTTTCTGTGAATTTTTTATCATCAATATATGTAATCTGACCTTTCTGGCCATCATCAAGGAAAACAAATGACAAAGAATAGAGAAAAAAGCAAAGCACACAAAATGCGAAAATAAAAAAGTAAAAAAAATAGAGGCTCTAAAGAGCCTGTGTCGCTAACATTGGTATATGTATATATTCAACAAAGGACACTCTCCATCATTGTTGATGAGAATAGAATTCATGACAAAATTATCTGTTTTGTTGATCTTGTATTGCTGATAATTTATTCTGTTTAGTTTCTCTCTATCTTCGTTAGTTTTTGCTCAAAACACAAAAGAGCTTAAAACAAATCCTCATTTAAGGGCAATCCCTCCTATAAAGAGTGACAGCAAACTTTGACCCTTTAGTAGATCTTGACTTGCTGATCCTTTTTGTGATTTAAAATGTCTATTTATCTATTATAATTTTTATCATATGAGGCAAAACGCCAAAAAAAAAAAATGGTGAAAATCGCCATTAAAGGGCAATAACTCCAATAACTCCAATAAGGATTCAGCCTCCATATTATCTTAATTGTAGATCTTGTCTTGCTGATCATTTTTGTTATTTAAGTTTCTATCTATCTATTATAATTTTTAAGATATAAGGCAAAAACGCAAATAATTGATAAACAATCGTCATCAAAGGGCAATAACTCTGATAAGGAGTCGACTGACGATTTCGACCTTGGGACGTATTTGTAGACATTGTCTTGCTGGTCATTTTTGCATTTTAAAGTTTCTCTTTAGCTATTATAGTTTTCAAGATAGTAGGCAAAAATAAAAAAAATGGTAACATTTGTCATGTTAGGGCAATAACTATCAGGAGTCGTCTTACCGTTTGGACGCATATGGACAATTGGTAGAGCTCAACATTCTGAACATTTTTGTTCCCGATAGATTTTCTCTTTTTTTATTTTTTTCAAAATAAAAGACAAAACTTGCATCTTACCCCTATGTTCTATTATTAGTCATGTCGGCCATCTTGGTTGGCAGTCGTGGTCATCAGACACAAATTTATAAACTAGATACCCAAATGATGATTGTGGCCAAGTTTGGTTAAATTTGGCCAAGTAGTTTCGGAGAAGATTTTTGTATTGGTTAACAAACTTAACAGACAATATAAAATTGTCATTAATGGGCAATAACTCCAATAAGGAGTCAGCCAACGATTTCTTCCCCTGTCAGATTTTCTCTATTTATAACGGTTTTCAAAATAATAGACAAAACTTGCATTTTACACCTATATTCTATTTTTAACCATGTCGGCCATCTTGGTTGGCAAGCGGGGTCATCGGACACATTTTTAAACTAGATACCCCAATGATGATTGTGGCCAAGTTTGGTTAAATTTGGATTAGTGGTTTCAGAGGAGAAGAATTTTGTAAAAGTTAACAGACGACGACGGACGACGGACGCCAAGTGACGAGAAAACCTCACTTGGCCCTTTGGGCCATGTGAGCTAAAAAGAAAATCGATAAATAAACAGTCATTTATTTTACATCTCATTTCTTAAGTCAATTTAGATAAACATTTGTCAACCATGGTATATGATACTTAATAAACATTTTCTCGAATACGGTCCTGATGGTTCTTTTTGGTCATCTATCTCCTAAGGTTTCTACGTAGTTATACATGCATCCCTTGCTTTCAAATAATTATGGTTTGAGCGTTCCTGGTGAATTCGGGTAAATCCAGAAAAGTGCTTCGGACGAACGAAATTTATAAAATGTTATTTTCATCAAACTTAACTTACTTTGGTAATACTCTCTTTAAAAATCGTTCTTTAAAAAAAATTAACAAAAAACTTACAAGATGACCGTTACAGGCGTCTGTAATATCAAAAACTCTCTCAGGAACGCTTGGTTTAACTTACGTAATGACCGTTACAGGCGTCTGGGATATCAAAAACTCTCTCACGAACGCTTGGTTTAACTTACGTGATGACCGTTACAGGCGTCTGGGATATCAAAGTCTCTCTCAGGAACGCTTGGTTTAACTTATGTGATGACCGTTACAGGCGTCTGGAATATCAAAATCTCTCTCACGAACGCTTGGTTTAACTTATGTGATGACCGTTACAGGCGTCTGGGATATCAAAGACTCTCTCAGGAACGCTTGGTTTAAATTACGTGATGACCGTTATAGTCGTCTGAAATATCAAATACTCTCTCAGGAACGCTTGGTTTAAATTACGTGATGACCGTTATAGGCGTCTGAAATATCAAAGACTCTCTCAGGAACGCTTTGTTAAACTTATGGAATTACCGTTACAGGCGTCTGGAATATCAGACTCTCTCAGGAACGGTTGATTAAACTTATGTGATTACCGTCACAGGCGTCTGGAATATCAAAGACTCTCCCAGGAACGCTTGATTTTACTTACGTGATGACCGTTACAGGTGTCTGGAATATCAAAGACTCTGTCAGGAACGCTTGGTTTTACTTACGTGATGACCGTTACAGGCGTCTAGAATATCAAAGACTCTGCCAGGAACGCTTGGTTTTACTTACGTGATGACCGTTACAGGCGTCTGGAATATCAAAGACTCTCTCAGGAACGCTTGGTTTAAAGTCCATAAACATGTAGTTTATCTCAGTTACAACTACAAAAACATTACGTATAACAGATTAGATTATCATTCTTTTTACATATGAATATTGCGAAAGATCATTCAAGTCTGAAGATCAGTGGTTGCCGTTGTTTCATGTCTGTCTGATTGGTTTTTCGTAAATTGTTTTGTTGTCCATTAGGCCGTTATTTTTCTTATTTGAATTGTTACACATGTTTCATTTTGGGGCCTTTTATAACCGACAATACAGTTTGGGTTTTTCTCATTGTTTAAGGCCGTATGGTGGTCTATAATTGCTTACATCCACTTCATTTGAAATCTCGTAGATAGTTGTCTCTTTGGCAATCATACCACAATGCTTATTTTTATAATATGTAGCCTTCTTGGGAAGAAATGTTTTGAAGTATGTCATAACCATTGTTTTTTCGAGTCAATGTGTACGATTAAAAAGGGAAAGTTTACTCACAAAAACACGATGGTCATATCCCATTTAAAAAAAAATAGTTTTTTATTTGAATGTATCAACTTTCGCGGGACAAAACTTGCCGCCTTCGATTTACTTAAGATGGATTAATAGAATTTTTACAGTGAGGTTAACACAGGAAAATACTGAAGTGTATTTATTTTTTTATGCAACAGATTGAACTTTTTCAAATATCACTTGTACGTTATACCAATCAAATTCATTATTGAAAATCTAACAGATTCACTGAAGCGTGAAACGTACTTTTATATAATATATGTCCCCTTAACAACAATTCGGAAACATTTTGCTCACGGCATTCAATAAGGACAACAATTGATATTACTGAAAATCAATTATCTGAATAGTAAAAATATTGTTCAGCAGTAATTACTTTTTGTGACAGCAGAGTTTACGTTTGCATTTACAAATCATAAAATATGAGAGAAATCAATTCCAATTTTAACAAAATAAATCAAAGTAAAGATACTTTTCTAACAGTTCGACTAAGCTAAATCAGCTCAAATTGTAAATTCACCAAATCTAAGGCAATTCATACTTTGTTGGGTATTTTTTTTATGCCCACGCCGTCACTTGGGGGGGGGGGGGGGGGGGGGGGGGCAATAAGTTTTACCCTCGTCCGTCCGTCCGTCCGAAAATTGGTTTACGTTCTCTAACTTTAACTTGCCTCAACCAAATGTTATGAAACTTATACAAAATGCTTATTACCACAAAACTCAAATCAAGTTCGAATTTAGGTGGTGCCACGTTTACCGTTCTCAAGTTATGCCAATGTATTACGTTATATGCAATCGGGGGCATCATCTGTGTCCCATGGACACGTTCTCCATTTATTTTTTCTAATAGATAGTTTGATTCTAAAATTCTTGAAATATTATAATTTGTTTCAGAAGGGAAGTGAAATAAAAACTACTTCCATTGAAAAAAAATGAACATTTGAGAATCATATTCATGTATGGGATTTCGTTACCATAAATTACTTAAAACTTTTCCTAGATTCTTTCATAGATACAAAGATTTGATCAGTAAATTTGGCTGTACCTGTAGAAAACTTATTAAAAACGGTATTTCACATCCTAAATTTTACGGTAATATTGTACTAAAAGCGCGGAAATCACTATGTGATCCGTGTAAACTCATCGAACCTTTAAACAAACTTATTAGTAAAGGATATCTTATTAATGTTGCAATAAGATCTTTGAAAATTGTTTACATTGGCACAAATATCGATTTTGTCATCAACAAATCAAAACATAACTAAATTTGTATTCTTTTCGAATGGTTTTTTATGATGTATAAATACACATCCACGTTCATTTTCTATATAGACATTGCTTTATCTATATACTAGTATAACATTATACATATTTATCATAAAAGTTAAATCCAAACTATCCTACTGCCTGTCGATACTTTTATTTTGGCATTGCACAAGTCATGTCTTCTTTGACTGTCCATGGCGTTAAAACACTAAATCCCTGGGATGTGTTTTAGTTGATTTTAGTCTCTGATGCATGATTTTTTATTATTAATTTTTTTGGGGGCTTTTAACTAGCTTTCAGTAACTGCGAGTACTCTCAAATCGTACTTTCGTGTTAATTTTACCTGTTGACACAATTTGTAATGCATTTTTGTTATTCAATGTTTACTTAGTTTGTGTTATATCTCGTCTCACCATTTTTCATATGTACCACCTTTGATAAGTATTTAGTACGACGATAAATTTTCACTTCTGTTCTCATACTATGAACAACAAATTTATTTATTTATTTTGTAAAAAATATTTCCGTACTCCTAACAACAAAATTATTATATTTAAATTTACCTGTGTACGTTATTTTATTTAACACTATTTTGTCCAAGGTTATACATGTAGTTGTCTTTTTGACATTGTTTTACATCCCCCCTTTTTAATTAATATTGTATTTATATTGTGTCATAGATCAAATTTATTCGTTAAGTGTATGTTTACTTGTTTTTGTTAATATGTCTTATTTGATTGAGTTAAGCCATTTATATTGATATTTTATAGTGCGTCTTTTTATGTTGTAATGTTACACTACTATTTCAGGCTAGGGTGAAGGTTGGCGCCTGTTAAAACGTTAAAAGCTGCTGTATTTGTTTGCACCTGTCCTAAGTCAGTAACCTGTTGTTCAGTGGTTGTCGTTTGTTGGTGTGGTTTTAAGTGTTTCTCGTTTCTCATGTAGATTAGACCTTTTGTTTTCCTGTTTATATTATTTTACACTAGTCATTTTGGTGCCCTTTATAGCTTGCAGTTCGGTGTCAGCCAAGGCTTCGTGTTGAAGGCCGTACTTTGACCTATACGTGTTTACTTTGTACACATTGTGACTTGGATGGAGAGTTGTCGCATTGGCACTCAAACTACATATTCTTATTTCTATGTGATTGAGAAACAACCATTTTTTTATTATTAAAGTAGTAATTTTTTAGTATCAAAGAATAATTATTGTTTGTCCTGAGAAAAAAATCATACCCAACAAAAGATGAATGGTCATTGCCTTATAGACAGATAATTCATTACGGAATGACTATAAAAAAAATTATTTATGAAGAAATAACATCAAAATGTGATGCACACTGGATCATTTAATTCTAAATTCTATTTTTAAGGAGTAAATCATGAAAAAAACGTTGATGACGTCACGGTCACATGACAAAATTATGTCTATGAGCTGATAGACAAAACACTTTCAGCCAATCAGAAGACGTGTTACATCAAAAATTAAATTATTTGTTAATAGATGTAGATCACATCATTCAAAATTGAAGTACGAAATATAAAATTGTTCACCTTTGTTAACACTTCCCCATGTTGACTCAGAAAACGGAATACAATGGTCTTTTGTCATCGATATCTTTATGAAGAAGTTTGGCATCGGTATTTTCCATGTGTCAACAGAAAAGCTTCTGCTTGCTGATCCTATTTTCGAGCTACTTACAAAAGTGGCATTAACTGAAAAAAAGAACGTTGACTAATATTGGTTCAGTTCAAGTTTTCTTAGGGGACGACCATTTTAATATAAAGAAGAAAATTTCAGAATTTCCACCGTAATATGAAATAAAAGAATTGTAAGAAAATTTCAGAATTTCAAGTCATATAAAAAAGAAAGATTAAGAATTTCGTGTGAAGTTTAAAGAAGAAAATCTAAGAATTTCGAATGAAATTTAAAAAATATGTTTTAGAATCTGTAAAGGCAAAACTCAACAGAACAAACGAAAACAATAAACTATATAAATGAAAACAACTGTAGAGTTTGACATCATTTTGGAGAACTATGATTATGTATGCAATGTACTTAGTTTGAACCAAACAATAATTGAGGACAGTCATTCATATTCAATATCAAATATTTCCTTCAAATATCTTTTTTTTTTATTTTCAAAAGATATTCGGAAATATTATTTTACGTCTATTTTGCCTCCGACAATCAAACTCTACCAACAAGCGGTCGTAATACAAGAGACACACAACTTTGACCTGAAAAGACGAATAAAGTACTTGACTCACCCGGTATACAGTTAGCTGTCATTGGTGTTGTTTCATTTGTGATACTACACTTCCCCCCAAGTAATGTATACTGCTTCATCTGCAATAAAAGTCGACAAAAAACATGTATAGTCAACATCGGGGGATGATGAAAATGAAAAAAATAAACAACAATTTTTAACATATTTCACAGAAAACAAAAGATTGAGTAACATAAACCCCATCAAAAACTGAGTTGAACTCAGAGTGCTCCGGAAGGGATGAGCGTTTTCTTCTTCACAGGCGACCTCCACCGTATGACTATTGTTAAAACCGGTTGACGAAAATAATTTCCGGTGACAAACCGCCATACAATAGCTGTTTGTTGAATGTCTCCTATCTAAACGTGAGATATTATCAAATTTTTAAATCATCATTGCATGCGAATTCTCTAACCCTAACATATGTCTAAATGCGAAAGTTTGAAATGTAATCAGTTTTACTGGACAAAAGGATAGACAAGGTCGTAACCCAAAGAAAATACAGATATGAAAAATTAAAATACATTTGAAACACAGACTGAACATCTGAAACATAGAAACATAAAAAGGGGGAGGAAAGGCTTGTTAAATGGCCATATCCTGGAAGATATGCATGCAAAATTAGCTTAACTCATAGAGCATCATCCTCGTGTACTCGTTTGGCGGAGATGGTATGCATACAGCATATGTTTTATAGTTTATTTGTGATTTGCATGGTACTTGATCTTTAAAACTTTAAATTACACAGTCGAACCTCGAAGTGTCCAATTCGACTGTGTCGAAAACTTAGATACGTTGATCTATATTGTCAGTCCCGGTAAAAAAAAATTTTCTTCATAGCATTTTTGACTGCGATGAGTCGAACTCCGTTGATTTGAAATCCCAGTTAACTCGAAATATCCCGTCGACGAAAAATATCTAAAAACTTCTGACACCTGAACCATTCATACATCATAAAGAAATATAGTAAACACAAATACTTATCATTAATTTGAATTAACTGTAAAATGTACATGCCTTATTAAAGTCTGATATAACTGTTACTCTTTGCATGGTACCACCAGCTTGTGGGATATCTCGATCAGCTCGTAACATCTTGTTGTCATAATCATAGTACACTGTGGCTGTAAACTTACAACACATATATAAATGATTAAAGTCCAAGAAGTTTGAATCACAAAATGATATTTTTTGCACCGTATGATTTATACTACTTTTTGGTTATCTTTTCATTAAGATTATTGTTTTATTTACGTCGCAAATTACAAAAAAAGAAGAATTAAAGAGGTGTGCCTCAATTAGACATCAACCAAATCAGCACAATAAAACTAAAGACATCGCCGGTTATATGCATATATTTGCAACAAAGTTTTTGAAATGAAAATTTTCATGGATGAGTAAAACCATTTATCATTAGAATGTCATGCAAAAAATGTTTGCAAGTTCTATTTTGGTTCAGTCATGGACATTTTGTAAGAAATATTTTTCAAGTACAATAATGTTCATGCATGCATAAACGTCTTTCTTATTTTGTGTTTTATTGGCGTGCTGTTTCGTACAGCCTCAATTTAATTTTGGTATTAATTGTTACCCCTCTGCATTCAAATTATTCATTTAAATACATTTTGCTAAAAATGTTTTTTTATTCTTGTTATTTCGAATGATTTATAGGACTCATTTTTACCCATATACACTAATGAAAAATCAGGAGGACCTTTTTTCGTCAACAAATACGATTTTGCAACTATTTACTGATGATAAATTGGCATTTAGTGGTGTACTGAAAATTGTCTTCCATTATAAGAAATATGCTTTGGAGACTGAAAAGGACTGAAATTAAAGAACATAAAACGTAACGAAACAGTAACATTTTTTTTCTGTTTCTTTAAAATTGAATTTCACATATAAAATGTATGTAATGAACACCATATATATGCTTCGCGCGATTTTAAGCTAGTCCCTCCTTGTGTTCTAATGCTTGACTAAACTATACTTACGTCTACGGGTGTCGGAATATTTGATACGGGGTCCAAATATCCTCCTAATTCTACCAAACTAGTCGTGAACTTAGATCTGGTACAACATGGTTGTGGGTCTGCAGCAAAAACCAATGGCAAGAACAACAGAGCAGTAAACATCATTTTAAAAATTCTGAATTTTTAAACCCGTCTATCTTCTGACAACGCTTCGGAACTTCTGTCATATCTTTTTCACCTTTGTACATTTAAGCGGGAAACATCAGGTGCCAGTATGAATCACGGCTTATCTTGTGAACAAATAATATGCACTGTCTGTATATCATGCAAGCTGATAGTGATTTTTGACGTCATGTTTGTACTTATATTTGACTAGAATAATTCAACAAGAGACACTAATGGAACGACTGTTTAATCTTCTGGGGTGTAAAAAGGGTGAGGGTAACTCGGAGTTTTTAATTCTTGCAGATGAAAATTTTATCTTCACTTGTTGTAAGACGTCTTATTTATTTTGCGCTGCAAAGAAAGTTATGTTTTATGTTGCAAGATTGCTTGTTTTCATAAACGTTCCAAAATCCTTCAATCTTCAAAGATAAAAATCAAATGGTAGCCCCTTATTAGTACCTGCAATGTTTTTATTGAGGAATTTGGTTTAAATAATGTTTCAAAGAACATATGAACAAAACAAGATAAGAGATTAACATGCATTAAAACTAAACTCACATGATTTTACCCTGTTCTGATAGTGTACATGTTGCTTCATCTTCAATTTACCCTGTAGTTTTTTTGTTGGCCTTTGATTTTTTGTCAATTTTCCTTTGTCCATGCATTATCTTTTCAATTCCTTGGACGTTTTAGAATATTATTAATACCATAGATATTTAAACTCGCCATGAAGGTCTTACATCGTTCAAAAGCAAGAGCTCCGTGTGTGATTTACTTCCTACTTAAGCTATAAAATGCTTCTTTCATTCGATGGTTTGATAATTTTAAATACTCAATGGCCTGACAAGAATGCTGCTTATTAATTTCAATTACATGTTGTGATGAGAATTCACAACACCAGTTAGGACTGTTGAACCTGGAGTGGCTGTTTAATATAACAAACAAGTATGGCTACCTTATATATGTGAGTATAGAAAGACATGTTATATGCCTGTCACAGTGGAATCTTCTGTTTCCTAGATTTCCTGGTGAGTATAGAAAGGCATGCTTTATGTCAGTCAAAGTGAAATCGTCTTTTTCCTAGATTTCCTGGTGAGTATAGAAAGACATGCTATATGCCAGTCACAGTGGAATCTTCTGTTTCCTAGATTTCCTGGTGAGTATAGAAAGGCATGCTATATGTCAGTCAAAGTGAAATCTGCTGTTTTCTAGATTTCCTGGTGAGTATAGAAAGACATGTCTTATGTCAGTCAAATTGAAATCTGCTGTTTCCTAGATTTCCTGGTGAGTATAGAAGGACATGCTATATGTCAGTCAAAGTGTAATCTGCTGTTTTCTAGATTTCCTGGTGAGTATAGAAAGACATATATGCTATATGTCAGTCAAAGTGAAATCTGCTGTTTTCTAGATTTCCTGGTGAGTATAGAAAGACATAAATGCTATATGTCAGTCAAAGTGAAATCTTCTGTTTTCTAGATTTCCTGGTGAGTATAGAAAGACATGCTATGTCAGTCAAAGTGAAATCTGCTGTTTTCTAGATTTCCTGGTGAGTATAGAAAGGCATGCTATTTATGACAGGGAATGTTTTGATGATTGAAGACAAGTGCCCCCTATAAAATGTTGTGCCTGTACCAAATCAGGCTTAACGAAGCATGTTTTGCTTGTTTATTGTCTGTTTGTGCGTTGTGCGTCTTTTGATGATGAGTCGGATAACCCATGTTTATGTGTTAATGTTTGTATAAAATGAAGGTATGGGAGGAAATGAGGTGAACACGCTTGTCAAGTAAATGTTATGTTCCATTACTTCTACTATAGAAATGATGCTTTTAGAAAACGGTATTATTTTCATGCTTAATATTCAACCAAAGATATAAATATACCCAGTTTTATTAATAGGTTGCTAGAGGCTTATATCACTCTACTAGCTAGTAAAGGTGACAAAGGTAGATTCTATTGTCATATTATTTTGTGAAAGTATTTTGCATAGTTCTATTATAAACTTCATTTATAGTGGATCCCAGAGACTGTGAGAAATTCGATACATGATCTCCAAAAACTTTGATGGAGAAAAAGAAAAAGAAGGAATGTGTGTCCTTTCTTATTCTTAGATGGGGTGTTTTGAACTAGGGGAAGAGAAAGAAGAAAGTAAACTATGGATTTTGGGGCTGATCTTTAAGGCGTAAGAAACAAGAGAGTCGGCGCGGGTCACTATGCTAATCTGCCCTCCTTGCACTAGCCGTATAAATGAATATATAGGGTGTGAATTGAACCCACGCACGCCAAATCAGTTGTCCCTATATATTGGCGGGCGTGTGCTTCCCCTAAAATTTTTAAAAGATATTATTTTTGCAAACATCACAAATATTATTTGAAGACATGATTAGGGTCACAGTCCCCTAACATAAAGTCATAGAGTCTTACTAATTCCTGCTGTTGCTGATAGATTTCAGTTCAGTAAACAGGATATTCGATATCAAGGCGCAAACCCTAACCTCCCCTTTCCCCCTAAAATAATACATCAATATTCATCATGTTTAATAGAGAAGACAAGACAAATTCACAGCCACCCACTAAACTGCATGGAGATCGAATAGATAGTAGAAACCCGTAACAACAATATTATCATACAGCTGATCTCATGTATTGGGAAGGGTGAGCAAATAATGTTATATCGTATAATATATATATATATCATATTGACGTCTCCTGTATAATCCTAAGGGAGCTACCATTTGATTTTTATGGGGGCTAGGATGAAAAATTTTGTCCTGCATTTTTTTTTTAAGTTGTAATCTCTGTCCTGCCTTTTTATTTTTCACTCTATTCGGTCCTGTCTTTTTTTTTAATAGTTTATCCTGACTTTTTTTACATTGATTGTCATCCTGCCTTTTTTTTTTTGCCAAGTTGCTCATCCTGCCTTTTTTTCAACTCAAAACTCCTGTCCTGCCTTTTTTCAATTTTCATCCTAGCCCTCCCCCCCCCCCCCCTAAAAATCAAATAGTAGCTCCCTAAGACATAAATATTCATACACAATTGGTAAGTCATTGCGATTACATACTTTCATGATTATTCATAAGATGGCCATATTTTTGGCCGGTCAGAAACCATGATAATTAAGCCTGGTCGCAATATAGCTAGACTTTGTCCTGACCATACATGAAATATTTGCCACTGTACGTAAAGCAACAACAATGAATCAATGATGCAAACAATTGATTTTTTTTAAAATTCTGTTTGTAACATTCAAAAACATTCCTGTCAAGTTTTTAAACTAGCTTATATAGAAGTTTAGAATAACAGTAGTCCAGTCAACCAGTCAAGCTCAAGTATGAGTATCTCTAAAGTTGAAAACTGCATTACATCAATAGAACAGGTCACTTTTGAAAACTGAAAGCATTGAATAGTGACCTGTACTTTCAATGAAATTTGAAGTCCAATGAATTCAATAAAAATTGTATGCCTTGAATAAATGCAAAATGTATTAGCAACTCCAAATTTTGATATAGTAGGTGATTGGGGCAAACCAGTCCCACAAGATGATTCAAAGAGAGGGTAGACCCAAACTTTCTCAATGTGTTAATGTGTTCATCTATTTACAGGTAAGGGAGCTACCATTTGATTTTTATTGGGGGGGGGGGGGGGGGGGGGCTAGGATGAAAAATTTTGTCCTGCATTTTTTTTTTAAGTTGTAATCTCTGTCCTGCCTTTTTATTTTTCACTCTATTCGGTCCGGCCTTTTTTTTCAAGTGTCTCATCCTGCCTTTTTTTTTTTACTCAAAACTCCTGTCCTGCCTATTTTTTTCAAATTTCATCCTAGCCCCCACCCCCATTGAAATCAAATGGTAGCTCCCCTATTTAGATAGAAGCAGCAGACAGTTAAATCTAGCTGATCATACAATTTTTCAGTTATATATTTCTTTTCTTTTCTAAATAACTGCAGCATCAGGGTCATATCTATTTATCTTAAGCCAGGCCATGCAATGTGATGTTATATATTTTAAGATGTAAGCCAGTTTTATTTACTTGATAATTTAATTCTACAGGATTTATTCAAAAACAAGAAGAGAGTGATGGGAGTAAACAAGTAAATAAGATGCAAATTTGAACTCCTCTAAGAAGTAATAAGTGTTACACCATAGCTTATACCCACAGAATAAACTCTGTGGTGCATAACTAATTCATTTCCAAAAACCAAGGGTATTTCAAGTTAGAGAGCTGAAACAACTTTCAGTGTATGGTTTTCTTAATTGCTGGCCTCACACCTTCTAGTATTGGTGAATAATCATGCAAAGTTTCATTACCTAACATCAAGGAATATGAAAGTAGTTTTAAAAAACATCTTTGTACATAAGCACAGGAGGGACTAATTTGACCCAAGTTTTTGATCATAAATCGCAATACACCATTTTCTTCCTTGTACAGACACATCTTCTTGAAGTGGTGAATAATCATACCAAGTTTCATCATTGCTCTCCAGTGGGTATGAAAGCAAGAGAGGGGGAAGTAATTTGTGACAGGACAGACAAACTGATTACTAAAGGCCTTCAGCCTAGTAATCATCAGGGTTGTAACATTAAAAAAGGGAAGTTTTGAGAATCCATCTAGACTTAACCTGTATCCCCCAAACTTTATAGAGTTATCCTGACTATTTAACAAATTAACCTGAAGATTGGATGCAAGTGGTAACATCTAGTATATGTACCAGCTGTAATGGACATATACCGGTATATACAGAAATATTTAATTTATTATTTCCCCAACTGCATTATACTTGTATTATTTGGTCCTGTACCTGCCTGGTAGCATGGACTGGCTGTTGGGAGTTTTTGTATCTGTTGACAAACTATTTGTACTTCACAATCAAAAAGGCCTTTTTCTAGCATCCATGTACTTATTAGCCAGTACTTAATATAATTTCAAATCATTTGTACTGTGAATTCATCTCATAGAAAATGTATTTTTACAACTTTTGGTAAAAAAAAGTTAAAAAGGCAACATGATTGAAATCCAGATCCTGTTTCGTCTCAATTTTAAACATAAAAGTTTGTCAGAAAAGGTTTATTTTAATTTGTCTATATATTGACATAAATTCATAAGTGATAATCTTTTCTGCGTATCAATATGCTATAATGATCTCTTAATTAATCTAACAGAACCCACATTCAACCAATTATTTAGAACACCAGTATTCATCTGATATTAAATCTTAATCTGGTCTTTATTTCAAAATGTAGGCAGAGGGCTAAAGTAGAAATAGCTTGATCAAGTATGCAGAACTTCAAGTCACACTTGCCTGATATTTAATGCCTTTTTTATCACTATTGATTATTTCGTGGTGGTCAGTTTTTTTTGGTGAAGAAAACTGAAGTGCCGGGAGAGAACAACAACCTTTGAACAGATCTGCCAAGTGCAGGGTTCAAATTAATATTCTCAGTGTTGACAGACTAGTGATACAGTAGTTAGCCTGAGGAGGAAGGACAAAAGTATGTTGATACAGATTAAATAAAAAACAAATTTTTAAAACAAGATTTATTATATATCTAAGACGAAACAATTATAAATAATTGGACATAATAAAAAATTTATGATCACAGTAACATCTTCAAATCTGACAGTTAAATCTGTACTGTGTATATACATGATTAAAAAAAATACTAGTTGTTGCTGTTGGACAGAAGATTCAAGAATAGCCTCAACCATCTCCTGCCAACATTCCCTGAAGGGTTGTAATCTTCCAAAATTTATCAGATGTACAAAGTAATTACAATGTGGAATAAAATATTAGAAATATTTTTTTTCAACAAATTAATAAAAAAATACATGTTCATTTTTGTGTTGGGACTTCAAATAGTTTTACTTTCAAAGATTCAACTTTTTATTTAAAAGTATCACATAAAAATAAGTCATGTTCAGCATCTTACAATTTCTACTAACATTAGATTAAATGATTAGCAATTGAAAGAAAAAAATGACACCTCACAATACTGACGAAAAATGATGTCTTCATTTACATATTTCATTATCACAGCTGTTGTAAAGAAACACAGTTTCAGTTTGATATCTATGTTTTCCTACGTGTTTTGTGGTCGTATATGACAATCTGTGTGTATTTTGGTGATTCTATAATTGTTCTCTCTGTGTTATCACCTGGAGAAGGAGCCTACAAAACAAAATATTCATAATTTATATCGATATATTACATGTATTATGTATAGAATATCTTATCAAAGAATCCAACTGCATACCAAATACCATTAACCTAATACTAGTGATTACCCATAAACTAACCTAATCACATATATACTAATGCATTGTTGATGCCACTGACGAAAACACAGTTGAAACAGCACGTTTAAGTCTAGTTTTTCGACTTCATTGAGGCAAGACAAAAATTATGGCTGTAATAGTATTAAATATTGTACAAAAACAAATGCCAACAATAACAACTTGTTAGCTTTGATGTGTTTTATGCATTTATTTTCAGTCGTTCATCATCAATTTCTTCATCTGTTGTTTGGGCGAAATGTTTCAGATTTTTCTTCAACGTCACGTTATTTTTATTAAAGGGACGTTACACTGCTAGTAACTATATTAAAATAAAACACACCCAGTAACCCCATAATAAATATACAAGGTATCAACGTGTTTGCTTTTAACCCATGATATTCCTATGAATGTATAGGAGGTAAGATAAATATGTACTGGTATATGCATATATACAATTATAGTTCTAAATTCTCAATGAAATATAAAAGAACAGAGTTCCAATGTCCTCTGCGTTGCACATATTTTATATTTCCAAGGGCATAACTCTTTTTAAAAGTCGATCGTCCACCATTATAGAACTTGTCTGAGATATTGCTGATATTAACCTATAGTATAAGTTTTATAAAAATCTGGCAAGAATTGTACCTGTGAGAGTGCTAACAATACTGGACGGACACCCAGTATTTCCATGTCCCCCGCAACGCGTTATGCAGGGGACAATGATATAGATAAATTTAAGGCAATACTAGTCAGAGCTTGACAGATGGTAAAGACTTCAGTAAATTGGTGAAGACTGTATGTTGACCTCAAGATGCATTTTGTTGTTGTTGAGTTACTGTCTCAATGACATATACCCAACTTTTCATTTATATTTATATGAATATTACAACATCCAACTAGCCTGTATTTCTCTTCCTGCATCAATATAATTATCATGATAGTAGAGGGTAAACACAAATTTTAATTCCAGCCTTTACACAAGAGAGGCATTTGGTCTTGTTAGGTTTAACTTACTTTAGGGTCCACATCGACTTTCTTTCTGTCCCTCTTATTTTTAAATATCAGTCCCTTAGCATTGTCAGCCATCACTAGATAATTTGGTGTAGGGTTTGATGTGGATGTCTGTGTTTCCCAATTATAAAAGCTGAAAATAAGAAAAAAAAACAAAAAATGAACTTATGTTTCTAGTTTCTAAAAGAGATACAATGTATTAACCTTAAATTTATAAATATCTGGCACATTTATAGTTAAAAAAATTCTTCCTCTAAAATTCTTACCTTCCTATAAAAGTCAATAAAACACTGATATCTATTTTCACGATTTCAACACAAAAACTTATTGTGTTCAATGTGTTGGGTTAAACTGGTGCATGAAACAAACAAAAAATTGCTCTTCACCTCAATATTGTCTGCAAATTATCTATGTGGGGCAAATTTGGGCGGTAAATACCGCATTTACCACCCCTGTAATAACCAGTATTTACCGCCCCGGTCAATCATCCTCAAGTGGTCAATACATGTACTGGCAAATACTGGTCAATTGAAATTTTTATGGTTCTTTTGAAAGGCTTAACTATCAATTTTTAGTAAAATATTATTTTTAAATTTATTTAACTTAATTCCTTTGGCATGATTAAGTTTTTGAAAAAGAATGATATTGGTATGTTTTATTAACTATTAATATGATAATGACTAATTTAGTTCTTAAAAGTAATGATGATATTACATACTTCAGGTATATATAAAATTGCTATATCAATTATTTACCGGGTAAACATTTTTAAATCAAGATATTTTTTCTTGAAAAGTTTTGATTTTGACAGTTACAATGTAAATAGAATTACAGGTAAAATTGAGAATGGAAATGGGGAATGTGTCAAAGAGACATCAACCCGACCATAGAGCAGACAACAGCTGAAGGCCACCAATGGGTCTTCAATGCAGAGAGAAACTCCGGCACCCGGAGGCGTCCTTCAGCTGGCCCCTAACAAATAAGTATACTAGTTCAGTGATAATGGACGTCTTACTAAACTCCAAATTATACACAGGAAACTAAAATTGAAAACGATACAAGACTAACAAAGGCCAGAGGCTCCTGACTTGGGACAGGCGCAAAAATGCGGCGGGGTTAAACATGTTTGATGAGATCTCAACCCTCCCCCTATACCTCTAGCCAATGTAGAAAAAACAAACGCACAACAGTACGTACAGTAAAACTCAGTATAAGAGAAGTCCGAGTCGGATGTCAGAATAGGAAACAAAAGAAAATAAACAAAATGACAATAATACATAAATAACTACTAGCAGTTACTGACATGCCAGCTCCAGACCTCAATTAAACTGATTGAAAGATTATGTCTTCATCATATGAATATCAGGCACAATCCCTCCTGTTAGGGGTTTAGTATTATACCGTCATAAAATATATGAGAAGAACATAAACCGTGTCATGCCAACAACTGGTTTTAGAATAAATGTGTTAATTCCAATGCAAAGACCCTATAAGTGAATCAATATTAAAGCCAAAATATGCAATCTTTAATACCTGACAACAGTATCGTAACTATATCTCTTCTTAATAAGTCTGTTTAAAGGTTTTGTTAGCTTTTGAGGTGAATACTGACATTTTTGTGCTTTGAAAAGAATATTACCATAAAAGATTGGATGTGAAATACCCGAACATATAAGATGTCTGCATGTTGAGTTATATTTACGAATGATGTCCTTATACCGATGATAAAATTTAGTAAATGTTTTGACTAGTTTATGATATCGAAAACCCTGGTGTAATAATTTTTCAGTAATACATAAATTTCTCTCGCTAAAATCTAATACGTTGTTACATACACGAGCGAATCGTACAAGTTGAGATATATAAACACCATAAGATGGTGACAAGGGAATAAAAATGGATAATTAACGATAGGAAATGAAAAATCATCTCTTTTATCATAAATTTTTGTATTAAGCTTCCCGTTAATGATATAGATATCAAGATCCAGGAAAGGACAGTGGTCATTTTTAGTATTAGCTTTATTTAAAGTAAGTTCAACAGGATAAATTTCTTTAGTATACATACTGAAGTCGTCATTATTTAGAGCCAATATATCATCCTAATAACTAAAAGTATTGTTTAATTTTTGTATAAGATGTTGTTTCGATGGGTCTTTGCTGATTTTAGTCATAAATTGTAACTCATAACAATACAAAAATAGGTATGCAATAAGTGGTGCACAGTTAGTCCCCATTGGAATTCCAATAACTTGACGATATACGGAATCTCCAAAGCGAACAAAAATGTTATCAAGTACCGTAAAAATTCAAGGGCAGATATAGTATCAAAGCATGTCCAATTGACATAGTTCTTTTGTTTGTTGCTACTAAAAAATGACCTAAAAGAGTTTGAACATATGTATTCACATTCCGACTTTTTAAATGCCCATTTAATTAGGTGTGTGAATTTTTTCTTAATAAGAATATGAGGCAAAGTGGTATATAGGGTAGAAAAATCAAAACTTTGAACAGATTCAAAATCACCAATATATGCATGTAATTTATCAAGTACTTCCAACGAGTTTTTGGCACTCCAAAAGTAATTAATTCCACTATTTTCAAAGGCCTTATTTGAACAATTTATTATCAGGTTTTTGATTGTACCAAGTGTACTAGTAAGTAGAATAGACAATTTAGTAGTGGAACAATGACTTGAAGACGAAATAAATCTATATTTGTAAGGTGATTTGTGTAGCTTCGGAAGCCAGTACATAGTTGGGACTTTCATTGTATTTGGTTCTGCTTGTAAAGAAGTAGCTTATAGTTTATGTTTGTTACAGATATCATTTTCTGAAAATGAAGTCAGTTGGAATGTTGGTGAATTGGTGATTTCCTTTTGCAGAACCTCAATGTAAAATTTACGTCAAACTATAATGATATTATTAGCAGCTTTATCAGCCGGGGCAAAAACAAATTCCTTGGCTAGTTCTTTTAGTTTATGTTTGATACGAGAGATAGGATTTTTATGGTTGTTGTTAAGAGTAAAATGTTCTTTCAAATGTTGTATACGTATATCAACTATCTTCATTACTGAATTAAAAAGAGTCCAAAGATTTTTTGTCAGCTTTTTCCCGTTTTATCCATTTCAAACAGTAAGCACGAAGTAAGTCGTGGATGATATTACGACACTCATTCCAATTAATAATTGACGGGGGACGATATTTTGGTCTTTTACTGAGGAATGATTTTAACTCTCGGTCGCGAACGATGTTAAGGTCTCCTGTTATAACATGGGAAATGGGGCCATAAGTGTATTCGGAATTACTACAATTACATGATGTAGGTGTATTTTCACTGATATTTACATCTTTACAGACTTGGCTATAATTAAACACAAATTTCCGGGTAGATTTCTTGTAAATATAACAAATAAGAGGGAGTTCAGTATTATCAAAATATCCAGGAATTTGTTCTTTAACAGAATGGTCGTTAAAAATACCGGCAATATTTACAAAATCAAAACCTTTATTGACATACTTTATTTTAATAAAATGTTGTTTATGATCTTCAGGGCGATCAATTTTGGGAAACAGTTTAGAATAACAATATGCCATTATAATTTGACCGATTTCATACTTAGGACTGCAATATGAAATTGTGTTGCAATCCTCTAAAATTTTATTTAATTTATTTATAGGTAAAGAACAGTGCAGGTGACTGGATTATCAGAGCATTACCTATTATATTGCTAGCAGGTGTCAAAAGTTACTATAAAAACTGCCCCTTAATCATGCTGATAAATGCTGATAAAACATGAAACAAAACATAAAAGTTATTTTTGAAGACTGTTTAAAACAATAAATTAATTCCTGACTTTTCAACAGAATGATAAAAATCTTCTAAATGCAGAAAATAGAAGCTTGAAGGATCTCTAATATTTTATTCTAATAATCACTGTCAATAGTGTGTTCAATTTATATAAGAAAAGACAACATTAAAGAAAAGTCTAATATTGACTTGGAACTTTTTAATATTTTCATGACTAACAGAAATTGTAGGTAGGGCAAAATGTCACAAGACAGAAATTCATAATTCAGTTTTGAGAGAACTTTTTCTTTGGTTAAGAAAAGTCTTAGAATAATTTTTCAAACCATTTTTGTTTTTTTCTTTAACTATTACATATTATATATAAAACAACTCTTGAATGTTTTTTTTATTACACTTGATGAAATTACTGTTAAGAAAACAAGCTGTCATAGTCTCTTTTTAGTGGTGCCAAGAAATATGTCATGTATGTCCTGTGTATGATTAATATTTGATAAATCTTCATTTAACCATGGTTCATAAGTGTTTCTCCTTTCTTGTTTTTTTTATAGATTAGACCGTTGGTTTTCCCGTTTGAATGGTTTTACACTAGCAATTTTTGGGGCCCTTTATAGCTTGCTGTTCGGTGTGAGCCAAGGCTCCGTGTTGAAGACTGTACTTTTACCTATAATGGTTTACTTTTATAAATTTTGACTTGGATGGAGAGTTGTCTCATTGGCACTCATACCACATCTTCTTATATCTATATCATGAACAATTCAATAAACTACACTATGAATTTATCTTATAATGAGACATTATTTCAAGGATCTTCCCTTATATATTCAAAAACTTAAGTAATTAATTGTGACTTTCTGTCCTGCGACTATATCTGTCCATTTACCCAGTAACTGACCAGGTAGGGCTGGTTTTTATAGTATTAATGTTTATCAAAATTTCAATTGACCAGTATTTGCCAGTATTTACCGCCGGGATGGTCAATACTAGTATTGACTGCTTTTTTGCCAACCTTGGTGTGGGAATATATTTGCCCATTTCATGTGAGGGTTTAATAAGCGAGAAATGACACCAGCACAATTTTCTTTCAGTTTACAATAACTTTATGTAAGGTAATTATGATGTTTTCTTCATATAAATAAATATTTAATTAAGTAAAATTAGAAATTCAAAGTTTTAAGCTTAAAACAACTTTTATGGTTGTCCTTTTGATGGCAAAGGTTTTTGGAAATAAATATGAAAAATGTACTTCTTGTTGAGGATGTTCGCTGCTCTTGTTTTTGACTGTTCGTCAGATATTTGGAATACTCTGGTTTTATCTATGTAGTGCCATTACGCATTTTGTGCTAACCCCTACTATTCTTTTTGTGATTTTGATACAAATAGTTTAAAAAGCTATTTTACAAAATCTTTTAAAATCCTTGTTATTTTTTCATAGCTTTTGAAAGAAAAAAGTTATCATTGTTAAATGTATGAAAATTCAATGAAATTCATTTCCGCAAAATTTTCAATGGCTTATATCTCAAAGACAAGGACACAGACCATTCATTTTTTTTTCTGCTTTATAAGTTCAGATGATTTAATTTATCAATTTAAACAATTTGTATTGAACTGTATTTAAAAGTGTTATGGATGCCACAGAAATGTAATGAATCCTGCAAATAGTTTTATTCCAAAAGTGATAGCTTAAAATAATTCTTGGGAAGAAATGTGTGTGGTCTTTTATTTCAGAAGGACTTGTCTTTGAAATAAATATCAATTCTATAAGTCATGCTTAAAAGGTGGTACAGACACGACAGTATTTTGATAAGAGAAATGAAAAATGTGATTTTTAATCTGAATATATACAATATTCTGCTCCTTAACTTTTGAATTGTTACTAAGTATGCTGCTTCAGAAAACAAAACTATCGATTAACAATTGTTTCTGTCAAAAAATATAAGCTGATTTTATTCTATGAGAAAAACAAAGTTGGGTTATCTCCTGTATACAAAAATAAAACTCAATTAAAAGTTACCTAACATTACAAATGCATGTGAGATACATCATATGTTCAAATTAGGTATAACTGATGTTGCATTTGTGTTTTTTCCTGTATGAGTTTGAGACTGTGAAATATTGCTTTATAGTTCAAAAAGGAACAAACCTTAGATCAGATGGTCTTGGTAAGAGTTTCTTCTTTCCAGAGAAATAGGGTTCAAAATCTTCTGTCTTGAGTCTGTGAGCATAGTCTATATAACCAGAAATTTCCTGATCCCGTGCATTCTTGTCTCTGATGAATATAATACTCTGGAAAAAAGACATGGGTTCTATTATGTTGATATTGAGAAAGTAAGAGTAAAGTATAAATAGGACCGTTTTTATATGCATTGTTTGTGACTTTGTGTATCGTCCTCAGGAAATCTTATTTTCGATAAGAAAATCCCTTTCAATATAGTTTGTGTAACATTTTCTATCTTTATTATCCATTATCTGAGTGGGGGGATTCATTTTTTCCATTTTCTTATGCTTTAATTTTTAGACCATTATCTCTTCTTTATTTTAACCCATTATTTTCTATTATGTTAACACCATCCTGGCCATCATGAAGAACAAGGGATGCTAGGTTTTCTGTTTATATGACTATTTATTATGGTCTTGTTTATTTCTAACAGTAATCTCCCTTTTTTTCAAATTTTTTATGCATTATTACATTATAGCTTCAATACTTTCTGGTCTTCACTTACTGTCATTTTACCGCTCCTGTTTCCTTCCTCTCTCATTGCCAGAGCTTTCAAAAATGGATCATTTATTTCTTTTCCTGAATGTGCTAAAGTTCTGAAAACAAATGTATAATAAAGGTTAATTTGTTTAACAAAAAATATATTCAAGGATAATATCATGACTAGTATTTACTTAAGGTTCTTATTTTTTTTAGTTTTTTTCTGGTTCACAGCACTTTATTTAGTTTGAGAAGGACAAAAACATGAATAAAATTCATCATGTTCATGCATAATATGCAAGTTTAAAAATATTCAATGCTGCAAGAGTATAACATTCCACTACCAAACATCAATATTGATAATCAGACAATAGAAAAACAAAGCAGCAAAATCTGAATGACAATAACAACAAAATGAACATGATATACAGACGAAGTATCTCTGATTGTCAGACATGCTTGCTTTCAATTTGATTATCAATTTTTAAAATCTTTACAATTACAGAAATTTTAAGAAGTTAAATTAATTAACTGTTGTTTGCTTAATGTCAAGTGGCAAATGTTTCATGTATACTAATGAAATAATCAAGTATTGAATAATTCTTTATTGTTAATTTTTCTATTCATTCACATACTTCTGTTGACTCCTTTTAGATAGTCGACTAGCTTCAGCGGCCTGTTTACGAGCCTCAAATTCTTCTCTCTTCAAAACTTCTCCACTACCTCTGTATCCAAGCTCAACAACCTGTCTTGCCAACTCTTCATCCTGAAAATACATAATATTCATAAAGCTAACTAATACAGCATGTAAACAGTAGCTAAATAGCACAATTTTTTAAAATCAACCAATAGATTGTTCGAGATCACATTTCAGTCAAATACCATTTGATAAACACCATTATCTATATAGATTATAACATGTTCTTTTCCATTTTTCTTTATCTGACCATGCATCATCCTGATGATCCCATATTAGTCCAAGAAACTTGTAAGTCAACCTGTTATAATCTATTTATCACAAATTCAACAAATGCTCAAATTCTTGTTTTGAAATTCCAATAGGGAACACACATTACATTTCAAGGTAGACATGTCACTTTCACAATCATTAAAATGTTAACATTTTAGTTCAAAAATGTATTCCCTGTCAATATACAATGTACATGCTACAATGTACACATTGTACATGCTACAATGTACACATTGTTCATGTTACAATGTACAAACATACATAAAATTGAGACTGGAAATGGGGAATGTGTCAAAGAGACAACAACCCGACCACAGAACAGCAGAAGGCCACCAACAGGTCTTCAATGCAGCGAGAAATTCCCGCACCCAGAGGCGTCCTTCAGCTGTTCATTTCCTCCATTAAATTAAACATGTTAAAATATTTTTTCATAACAAAGCTCCCCAACATTTCCACACTAGAGTCCTTGAATATTTGGCAAATTCAAATTTTCCTTTTGTATTTATAGTGTTATTTGTTGTTTTATGATGTTTATAACAAATTATGCTGTCAGTTTGTATGATGTTGACAGAATAGGCCTCATCCTTTCGCCATTTTTGCTAGGAAAGCTTATTACCTCATAGAAACAGGGTAAAATAACAGAGTGAAGGTTTGAAAATCTGTTACAGGTTTTGCAACAAGATTTGAATAATACTAGCACTGAGCAGTATACTACATGTATCAAAGTCAGTATATGGACATGGATAGTATACTGCACATTGCTCCCGCCTGCCCAAAAAAGAAAAGTGGCTCGCCCTTGGTGCCCTTACCTCCACCCTTCTGCTTAAAATAAAACTATTGTCCTCCAGTTGAGCCTTGCAAGATTCAAGGTCATTTACACTGTCCAACAGTGCCCTAATAATCTGGTTGATTGCGCTGAAGTGCCCTTTCAGACAACAAGCCCCCTTATAACCTGAGATTCAAGCTGGAACACTGTTGCTAGTAAACATACAAATATTAGTGCCAACATAATTCATTTTTGCTTTCTAGACATTTCGGTCACAAAAAAGAATCAAAGAGCTGAAAGCTCTGAGGAAAAATGACGCCACGGTCTCTAATATTGTGATATTTTTTATGCAAGTCTTGATTTTCACATACCGTAATAAGTTTAACATTGCAACATGTCTCGTAAGCATATAATTGATATTCGTATATGTGTCTGTTTTTTCAGTACAAATGAATAGGTCAAGACTAACTGAATGATCTACAGTATCCAATTACTTCTGGCTGTTTTTTTGTATAAATAAATAGGTCAAGACTACCGGAATGATCTACAATATCCAATGACTACTGGCTGTTCTTTTGTACTAATAAAAAGGTCAAGACTATTTGAATGATCTACAATATCCAAGGACTACTGGCTGTTCTTTTGTACATATACATAAAGACTACCTGAATGATCTAAAGTATTCTAAGTAATGTGATTTTTTTCTTGCAATTACATTTTTCTAAATCAAGAATATAGACTACTAACTAGTATCCTTTTCAAACCAAATGATTATGAAGAGTCTGTTGTTAGCAAGCTCTTATACCCCACATACTCATTAAATAAGTTACTAGTGACCTAGTTATTTCTGTTACTTGAAGCAAATTATATTTCTGTATATTTAGACAATAGTATAATATTGTTTTACTAGTTTTATTTCACCTTGAAGATTAGACAAATAGGGATACTCCTTCGATTTTTTATTTCATGTCAGTAAGGTCGCTTTATATGAAACTTGAAACCACTTCTCTGCCATATTGTTATTTTATAACAACTCTGCCCTTGACCATGTTGACCCATGTAATTGATATTCATTCTTTAACCATATATCATAGTCAGTTAGTTTTTGATTTTGCACTCCCACACCACCTTTCATGTCTTTCAGGTCAAATGTCTGTCTCCATTTAAGTTAATGACATTAAACACAATTTCAATAGTGATAATGCTGTTCTTGTGGGTCACCATATATTCAACTTGGGTATCTTTAGGAATGGATCTTATAATTTAATATGGAGCCATAGTATGGGACCCCTACACGGTAACAAAAAAAAACAAGCTTGAAAGGATACAATGTCAAGCGGCAAAATCTATCACCAGAGATTACAAGTCAAAAGAGGATGGACGGGATACGTCTCTAAAATGCTTGCTGAACTGGAACTACAGCAAGATCTCCAGACAAGACGAACAAAGCGTTAAAAGTAAAAAGTAGTTGAGGGGCTGATTCCCGCTATTGAACCATACTGTCATTCTATAATATCATTGCGTAAGTATTTCTGTATTGGTCCATGTCTTGGGTGTATTGGTCTGAGGCGAAGCGGAAGGCCAATACTGCTGGCCGAGGACCAATAATAAGGCCAATACAGAAATACATGTAATAGTATCTTTATTAATTAACTTCAGTGTTACAATATTTTTTTTATTTCATTTCACAAGAGATAAACATGTTTACCTTAAAGTGGAACTATCCAAATCTCAGTTTCCTTTTATAAGATGCAATATCTAATGATTCGTTGCCGTTTGACTGCTGACCGAGAACCAATAATAAGGCCAATACAGAAATACACATAATAGTATCTTTATTAATTAACTACAGTGTTACAATATTTTTTTAATTTAATTTCACAAGAGATAAACATTTTTATCTTGAAGTGGAACTATCCAAATCTCAGTTTCTTTTTATAAGATGCAATATCTAATGATTCGGTGCGGTTTGAAGTATCTTCAGCCTTTTCCCATCTGATGAATTTTTCTACCCTTTCCAGTCACTATAAAGTGTTACCACTTTAATTTAGACACAACACATAAATAGTAATTGGAAAGGTACTGCCATTGCATGTGTAATGCAAATATATTTAAATAAAAAAAAATAATGTAAGAGTTGAAATTGATACAACTATCCATAAGCCAACTGACCAAAGAACGAAGATTTGCACAATTACAGAATGCATATGCCTGGTTCGGGTTTAAAAATAAACGACCGTTTAAATACAAAACATGAGAAGCGACAGTGAACAGTAAAAATCAATTTGTACCATCGACATGATGAAATTATGAGGTCGTCAAGAAATGAACTTTGTGATAATTTAATCGTTCCCAAACCTGAAATAATCCCATCGTCTACTTTCAAAATGCTTTTTAAATGAATGGGACCGTCTTTAACCTAAAATATACGTTTCAGCTTGTTTATGGTGAGTAAACCTGCTACAAACAACTGTTTTCTTTCAGTTTGAGTTTATCGTGACTTACGATCTAAAAACTAGAGACCTTCCGAAATCCTGTTTTGTAAACAAAGATTCATACGCACCGCGTGGGTATATCCGTATAACTAATTTCCGATTTTTAAAATCTTCGTAAATCTGGATAAAGACCAGTTTCTATCCAATGGATATCAAAATGATTCCGATTTTCACTTTTTTTAATGATTGTAAAGTTGAAATGGCATGAAAGGCTGACATTATTTAGGAGAACTATTTTGTCTAGCGATTGCTGATCATTGAAGGGTAAAAAGTCCAACACCATAACAAAACGGATCTATTTATCATGTATACATACCGATTGTTTACGATTGTAAGACCAGTGCATAAAAGTGAAAGCTCGAATAAATATGAAAATATAACAAAGGGATAGCTCCAAATACCATTTAATAACAAAAAACATATGGACAGGTCAAGATATCTTTTTAATAATTAAAATAAAGTATGTAAATTGGTTCCCGTCCGACTACAACACTTTGTTCGAGTGTAGCATTATACAAGCAGATTCCAGTTAGTATGTAAAATAGTAAATATGAAACCGAGTGCGGTAGGCGGAGGCAATAATCGACTTCCGGTTCTGGTCAATGGTATCGGAAACATGCCGCTGATAGCGTCATTTTCCAAAAACCCAATCAAAACATTGATTCAATTTTCATGTAAATGTTTCAGTTTGTTCCCCATAACAAACATAAGCATGAGAAACATGGAGTCTTCTCCCCAGGAATTTTAAATAGCCCTTTGGTAAGCGTGCAATATTAGATTGATTCACCTTTCATGTTAGCGGTGGGACGTTAAAATTTATACTGCCATGTTGGTTATATTATATTAAATAGACAAAGATATATACAATGTATGCATGTATAGAAATAAATAAGTTACATTTTTATTATTTAGCATTAAAATTAAAATGCCTAAATGATTTGAATAATTTGAACAATATTACAACCCCCTCCCCCCCCCCCCACCAAAAAAAAAAAGAATCCAAAATCCTCCTAGCACAAATTGAAATTCCAATATCTACTAGTAGAAATTGGTATTCTGATTTAAACTAAATGAAATCCAGACAAACCAGAATTTCAATATCTACTAATAGAAATGAATATCTAGTTTTGTACTAGTAGTTCTGTAGTGGACCTGTGAGCTGCTCGGATGGATGGTATGCAGCTCAAAAAAAAAAGGGGGGAAGAGTGTTGTATAACTGGGGATATAAATGTTACATCTGCTCACCAATTCACTGTAAATTAAACAGTATCGGGTCCGTTATATACCTCTCCAAATTCATGAATAAACATGGAAATTGAAAAAAATAAAGGCTTTGTTTTGGAGCATTTATGATCATTTACCATGTGAAATTGGCTTCATTGTTACATTTGTTTTTATTTAGAATTACTTTTAATAACTTGATTTGTTTAACAACCATTGACAACATATTGCGCTACTGCTGTTAACATTTTAATTCACCACGTTCACTAGTCCAGTGTCTAGTAAATCTCTATTAAATCATCATATATCTTTTTCAATCGTGCATGAAATAAACAAATATATACATGTATGAAAGTACTCATATATTGGTATCATCTAGCTTGTTTGGTAAAAAATTGTTTCTGGAAATAGTTCTAACTTTCCGTTATCAATCCTTTACTAGTATCGTTTTGAATTTTCTTCCTAATTAGGAAATCAAATAAACTCATCATAGATACAGTATTGAAATTTTGTAAGCGACGCACGTTTAGTCTTGGTGGCCAGTGCTTGAATAAAAAAAAGTTAAAAAGGCCAAATTAAGTATGAAGATGAAGAGCATTGAGCAAAAAGAAAACAAAATCAAGAAAAAATCAGGGCGAAACGGACTCATTAATTTAAAAGGAATTAGGGCAAATGGACCAGGGCGAATGGACTCATTAATCGATAAGGAATTAGGGCAAATGGACCTGGGCGAACGTGAATCAGGACCCAGATTCGAATTAAACAACAGCTTGGTTAATGGCTTAATTGTTTTTATTCAAGTTTTCAACTTATCATTATTTTACTAACAGACTAAAGCCTAACGGGTCCGACCTGTCTCAATCATTTGCTCAGGAAGGCTGTCCTTCTAATATAGTTTGCTTAGCTGTTGATTTTTAAGGTAATATTTAAAAGAATAACCTATAACCTCAAGATAGTATAAATCGATTGGTTTTATCTGGAAATCAAGAAACTCCTCGTAGGTGTTGAAATCTGCGACAATATTATCAGCTCCTCCTGCTCCTTCTTCCTCCATGTTGTTTACATGCCGTGTAACATTAAATGCTAGAAAGATTACACACAATATAAATCTAAATAGAAATTACTCTTTTAACTATAAAGATGACTTATATTGGAAATATAACACATATTTATATTAAGTTCAAAACAATAATGAAAAATATTGCAAACAATTATCAATTAATAATAAAAATATAGCTATCTCTTTAACGCGTATGAATTCAGTAGTTACTAAGGCAGAATGACTAAAAGACTGATTTAATATAAAGTTAAAAAAAACAAGCATTTTATCTAGATATTAACGAGAACTGATAAATTCGTGCATTTCCAATTATTTTTAAAACTCTTTTGGTTAATATTTTCATGTATTACAGAAATTGTAAATCTAAGTTAACTTATTTTATTTTTTTATTCAAAGGTCTTCAAAATTTTCTCTATCCTTCTTAAGTTTTAAAATAGGGCAAAAGAAAATCCCGCAAATTATCGCGAGATATAAACAATCTCCAGGACGACGAATGGCGGCTGCCATTCTATTTCTAGACTTTCATGAAGAAGCTTAGTATTTTGCTGGCAAATAAGACAACAAAACATAACTGATACAAAGTATAGATTCAATTCTGAATTTGATATTGAAATAGCTGTCACTTCTGTAAGACTTTTATATTTTAACAGGTTCTGACGTTCTGTAGCTTCACTCAACACTTGATATGGATCATTCTCAGAATATCTATAACATGTACACTAACAGTAACAGCAGAAAAGATCTAATTTTCTAAATACCATTTAAAGTTCATTATGCAATTCAAGATGAGTAACTATAGTTTATTCTTAGGTTCTCATTCTTCGAGCTTGTTAGGTGTCTTTGTTTACACTGGAATTCCTTTGTTGCTTTTTGTCTCGCATACATTTTTGTACAAATATATTCATCATTTCACATTTGCCAGAGGCAGAGTTCTGGAAAACAGGCCAATATTGCAAAATGTCTGTCTTACTTCTGCTGGTGTTAAAAAACTATTGGCATAAACGACTTCATTGAACATTTGGTTCTAACTGTGACATTATAACATAAGCATTGTCAGGAAATTAACAGGAAAGTGCATGAATACCTGCTGGTGTTAAAAAACTATTGCCATAAATGATTTCATTGAACATTTGGTTCTAACTGTGACATTATAACATAAGCATTGTCATGAAATTTACAGGAAAGTGCATGAATACCAGCTTCTTCCCCTAGTAAAACCTGCCACAAGATAGCTTATAGTGCTGAAAGTGGTGTAAAACACCAACTATAAACCAATTAAAAGTAAAGACCACATAAAGAAATATCAATCAACCAGTATTTTCTAGGAGTGGTATTAACCGTCCAACCTTGAATTAGTATCAACAATATTTTATTTTAGAAAACAATTAAATAAACACATACACTATACTATGTAAGGGATTGGAAAACAAGTTACCTACCTATACAAATTCCTCTCCTAGTACCTTGCATTGATAAATAATTTCTAGAGACTACCATCATGACCATTGTAAATGACGACAATAAAAATAGTTTTTCTGTTACAAAATACATGATATATATAATACTATTTAGGCCTGAAAAAAACTTGTGCTTCCGCTAAGGCAAAAAAAAAAATATGTATGTCTGTTTAAGATTACATAAAAAAAAAAATAGGGCAGGTAGATCGATATTACCATTTTATTTTTTTTTTTCATTTTATTTTATGTGACATGATTTTGAGTCATGCGGTCCTTCTTGCCGTGGTCTGAGTTGTCCATTTGCCGAGTTTACTCGTATTTTTAATGATTGGATTATTTCACTTGGTTATTGATTGCAAAAAATGGCAGCAAAGTGATTATTTCATCACGTGCATCACGGGTTTCTTTAAACAGCTGTCATAATCAGGATTGTGAACATTTAGATGTATCAGACAAAGGATTTATTTTATTGGCAACTCTAACTTCGCTTTTGACATGAGTTCAGTTAATTTTTCACTTTACAACGGGAATAAAATGACTTAGGGTTGGTCGGGTAACCGTTGACAGACATATATTTTTATTGGCCTAATCCTAACTGCCCTAAAGATTTTTTTTCTATTTTTAGAAAACACTTTTAAAGTTAGATTGTCCCCTGTTTACATCAGTCAAAATCTTTTGGAAAAATAAGATTGTTTGCTTACCCATGGTACCTACCCTAATGTTATTTTGCATGTGAGGGGAAACACAGGTACATGTTTCAATTTTTTAGGACTTATTTGTATGTGGTTGTGTCTTCATTTGCAGATATCTGTTGTTTTCCAGTAAAATAAATGTATGAATTCAATTGATATTAATTTAATTAATATAAGTATTATACCAAGTAACAATTTATTGATTGGTTGAATGACTAATCACTAATGTTTTAACGAGTTTTGAACATGCTTGGTTTTGAATGACATTTTGTGCAAGCAAGTTATAACAATTCTTCATTTTATTTTGCCGTTATCCCAGTAATCTTTATTGAACTCACCTCAATTCCTATTAACAAGTACTTTTTGTTGTATTCTTTTCAATTTATTGATTCAATTTTGATTTAGAAAATTGTTGGACTTTTTTAGAATTAGGTAGTCATGGTTTTAACAGATTTACCTTTTGAACGTGGAACATTAATTCATCAACGTTACAACTTGTTGAGAAGACCTGGAAGTGCACCTGCTTTCAAGAGAGATGAAGATGAAAAAAAGGAACAGAGCAAAACTTATGCTACTTTTTTAAGGTAATCAGAGTTTAGGATATGATTTGACTGAAATTACCATTGGCTAATTCGGTCTCTAGGGAGGTAAAAACACAATGCAGTGAGGCCAATTTGAACATGCCTTCAATTGTGATTTAAAACTTCAATTTGATCTGCCTGTAAAAATATTATATTTGATGTATATGAGCTCTTCATATATTTTTTTAGTAAACAATTACAAAAGCATCAACCGGTTGCATTTTATTCAATCATATGAGAGATAACAATTTGTAAATCTATCAATGACAGTCGAGTGGAAATGGGTAATATAAGGGTCTTTGAAGATCTTGAAAATAACTGAAACAATGCTTTATTTGAACACAAAATAAAGTAAATTATGATACGTATATTAACATAATTCAAAATTCATGGACAAATTTGATCAATGTTTTAAAGCCACATTTGATATCCTTTTTAGGGAGCAAGAAAGAAAAGTTGATCCAGAACTTGGGTTTTTAGACTCATCAAGATTCACAAATCCCTATGTTGTAAAGAAGAACAAAGAAAGAACAAAGTTATCACATTCTGGCAGTGGTAAACCATCCATAGTGTCTCTGTCTAACAGAATTGCAAATGGACAGAAGGAACATAACAAAAGAATCAAAGTGATTGAGGTAAGATAAAAAAAAAATTTGTCAGGACAGTGATAATATTTATACTGTGAAATGTTAAGAATGATTTATACGATATGGGTTTTAGTTTATTCTCCCTTTAATCTGCCAGTACATTGTATGTCAACAGTAAATTAACAGTTACCATAGCACAACCAAGAAATTCTTATAAACTTTTTACATTTGATTGGTATGATCATTCTTGTTCCAGTAATGGTGTGTTAGGGCTGTTCCAATAAAATATACATGGTACCCAGGGAATGCACTTTAAAAGTGGGGTTACCACCTATACATGGCACTCATACCACATCTTATTTATATAGAGGCAAATAAAAATTTCACTTACATTTCCACTATGCAAAAACATAGATGACACCCACCCATAGTTGAGATTTGGAAGTGCCTTCCCTGGGTCCCATGTATGTTTTTTATGGAACAGCCATTAGAGCTAATTTGGCACAAATTCATTCTTTCATACAAGGGAAAAAAATGTAGATGAAATACAATTTACACTAATTTAGGATTGAATAAGTTGGAAGATATTTTGTGTAAATATCAACAGAAAAAATGCACTATAGTGCATTTATTAAGTTAACTGCAAAAAGTCTAAAACATTAAACAGTATTATTTTAGTTCAATTTGATGTTGATATTGTGAAGAGAAAACACAAACATACAAACAAGCAGAAAATAAAATAAATGATTAAATTAAAAATAAAAAAACAAGAGAAGAACAAATGATGTTATACTTACTATGTTCATTCAGATACTGTCAGAATATGTATCAGAAAAAATCACAGAAAAAGAATAAAATTTCTTAGAAAAGATTCCAAATATATTTTTCTGATTAATTTAAATTAAAATGTATTCATATTTTCAAACAGGATCATATGTGGCAACACAAACAAGAAGAAAGAGAGTTGAAGCGCATTGAAGGAGATATAATTAAGAACCAAAGGGCTGTGAGACATACCATGAGAGATTTTGAAAATGGTAGATTTAAAAAGATCTTTGTTTACAAAATAAACATGATAAAATTATGAAAAAAATAAACAAAAATGATGATAATAAAAACACAAAGCAAAACACAAACAACAAAAGTAAGAATATGTCATTGAATTTTTAGATTCATATTTCAATGAAACAAATATAAAATGCTACTAACTAGTTTGAAATTACGAAAAAGATGGACATATAGACATTTCAAAAACTGCCTTCATTTTTGTCTCGCCTGCAACGAAAGTCGCAGAAAGTGAGACATAGGTATTACTATCCGGCGGCGGCGACGGCGGCGTAAACTATTTGTATAAAGCTTTATATTTCAGAAGGTAGAAGACCTGGATGCTTCATACTTTGTATGCAGATACCTTATGTTACGAACTTTCCGTCTGTCATATGTCCAATGTCCTTGACCTTATTTTCATGGTTCAGCGACTGCTTGAAAAAAAAGTTTAGTTTTTTTGTTATGTAAATTTCTCACTTATTATGAGTAATAGGATAACTATATTTGGTATATGGGTTCCTTGCAACGTCTACATGTCCATCAGACAGGGTTCACCTGACCTCAGCCTCATTTCATGGATCAGTGATCAAGGTTAAAGTTACGTGATTAGGTCCGTTTCTCAGATACTACAAGCAGTAGGTCAGCTATATGTGGTGTATGGAATGATTATAAGGGATACATGTCAGTCTGGCAGGTTTCATCTGACCTTGACCTCATTTTCACTGTTCATTGGTCAATGTTAAGTTTTTGTGTTTTGGTCTGTTTTTCTAATACTATAAGCCATTGGTCAACTATATTTGGTGTATGGAATGATTGTAATGTGTACATGTCTGTCTGGCAGGTGTCATTTGTCCTTGACCTATTTTCATGGTTCATTGGTCAATGTTAAGTTTTTGTGTTTTGGTCTGTTTTTCTAATACTATAAGCAATAGGTCAACTATATTTGGTGTATAGAATGATTGTAAGGTGTACATGTCTGACTGGCAGGTGTCATTTGTCCTTGACCTCATTTTCATGGTTCATTGGTCAATGTTAAGTTTTTGTGTTTTGGTCTGTTTTTCTAATACTATAAGCAATAGGTCAACTATATTTGGTGTATGGAATGATTGTAAGGTGTACATGTCTGTCTGGCAGGTGTCATTTGTCCTTGACCTCATTTTCATGGTTCATTGGTCAATGTTAAGTTGCTCTTGTTTGGTCCTCTTCTCAGATACTATAAGTTATAGGTCAACTATATGTGGTGTATGGAATGAATGTAAGGTGTGCACGTCTGTCTGACAGGTGTCATCTTACCTTGACCTCATTTTATGGTTCATTGGTCAAAGTTCAGTTTCCTCAATGAGGTTTGTTTCTAAGATACTTTAGGCAATATATGTTAAATAAATTTGGTGTATGGAATGATTGTACGGCCTACATGTTTGTCTGATAGGGTTTACCTCACCTTGACTTCATGTTCATTCATCATTAAAATGTTAATTTAATGTAAAGCTTATATAAACTTATTTTTTTTACTTTCAACATAAATTCAATTATGAACACTAAAACAGGCGAGACATTTCAGTGTGTCCACTATTGTTTAAGTATGTGTTTGCAGAAACAAATTGAAAAGAAAGATTGGAAAATTTGTTGTTGCGGTTAATTTTAAAAGCATAAATTTTTATATAAGTTATTGATATATTATAAAAATTTGTCAAGTGTAACAAACTTTTTATCATGCCTTATGCTAAGGATGGCATGCATGAAGATATAAATGCTAAAAGGTATTTAGAGTTCTGAATGTGACCAAATCCTACAGTTATTTTTTTTATCAGGACTATCTCCCTTTGTTTATGTTTTTCAATATTTTCTGCAATTTTATAGCAATAAATAAAAAGAGATTAGAAGAAGAGAAAAAATTAAATCAAGGATTGGAGAAATACACAGTCATACAGAGAGAACACATACACAGGAAAGAAGAGGTAACTAAATAATTACAAATAACATAGACATTAACATGTTAAGAGTGGTTCTGTTCAAAGAACCCAGGGAAGTCACTTTGGAAATGGGATGACTATCTATAGAGGCATTTTTAAGAATTCTCTTACTCTTTCACTGTACAAAAAAACTCAACAATAGGTGAGATTTTAAGTGCCTTCCCTGGGTCCCATGTATGTTTTAAAGCTAAAAAAACTTGGGGAAAGTTCATCAATAAAAAATTGTTTCTTGAAGCCAACCTTTTATAAAAATAATATACAATACATAATTAGCATGTTTTGAGATTACATTGTTTTGGAAGACAGTATTTGGCATAAAAATGATATCATAAATTTTGAAATGTTTGAAATGAATGATACCATGGCTGAAATCTCTTATATACCACAAGTTAACATGGATTAGTTTTCTGTGAGTTTCTATTAAAATATATGATGTTTTTACTGATTAAAGTTAATGGAAACTAATTGTAAGTATTTTGGCATTGACTTGTTTTTTTTATATGGCACATTTTACCTTCATGTTCTCATTATAGTTAGAATTAATTATGTTGTGAAGCATGGAAATTTAACATATATTCTTGGAATTTTTAGTTCTTTAAATTTTACACTTTGAAGACATTTCACCAATTTAAGAGAAAAAAGCAGGCATAAAATGAAATGAAAGATAGAGTTTTTATTAAAAATAGATGTTTGATCTGCCTGTAAATACTGTTGTTTAATAATGATGTGAAGTTATTTTAATTTTAATGTTGAAAAGCATGTCACTATACTTGTTGTCCAGGACAAATTCCATAGGTGGCACAACACTTCTAGTTTTAGAACTTTGGGGATGAATTCTTATATGTATCATTGTATGGTACTTGTTCATAACTAAAGAATTTAACAAACAGAATTACAAAAAGTATGTTTGATAGCAGAAAGGAATGTCCTTTTTCAAGTTTTAACATATTCAGAAATCTACTAGTCGAAAAAAAAAACGTGATTTTTATTTTTAATTCTTTGTTTAAATCTTTGTATTGATTTTCTATAATAATAAAAAAAAAAGATAACAGGAATTGCCAAAAATATTGGATAATGCAACAGACCTGGTCTTCAATCAACATCAGATTCCTCTGAGAAAATAAATGCACCAACATCAACAACAACAAATGGTCCAGACAACCTGACTTTTAACTGGCACAAATAAAATTGGGAATATGTCAAAGAGACAACAACCGACCAAAGAGCAGAAATATGTTTGGGTTAAGGATGTTCGCTACTCTGTTTCAAAATAACAATCTTTTTTAAAGACTGTTATAAATTGATAGTATATAAATAAAGGAACTAAAAAAGCAGAAAAAAATGAAGCTTGTTTTCGAGATCTAAGCCATTGAAAATTTGATGGGAAATGATTCTCTATATATTTTTCATACATTTAACATTGGCACCTTTTTTCTTTCAAAAACTATGAAAAATAACAAGGATTTTATAAGATTTTCAAAAATGGCTTTTTAAACTATATGTAATAAAATTATGAAAAGAAAAGTAGCTGTTAGCGGGCAAAACTTTTATTGGTCCTACATGGATAAAACTAGAGGATTCCAAATATTTGGCAAAAGTTCAAAGATGAGGAGCGAACATCCTTAAAAGTAAAACACAGTAAAAATAAACGTGCACTGTCCAGCAACCAACAGGGTGACCACTGAACAAGGAAATATAAGACAGAATATCTTTTAAAAAGCACTAGTATTTATTTCAGCTGATGCTTACATGCATCTAAAACTAATTTTGTATGGGTTTGTTTGAGGTAAGTCGTAAAAGAGGAGAAAATAATGTGATAACTACCAGAGAGTCCAAAAGACAGGGTAGAAAGATATTTTTGGAACAGTAAGTCACATTACAATATATACTGTAACTTTCACTTTCATTTTCAGTCAACAAAAGAACGATTACAACAAACACTAAACTTTGAACAGGGTAGTAAATCTGTTGGGAGGAAGAATGAGCTCACAAAGTAAGTTTGATTGTGTTTATATAATTATATAAGTGTCAGGCTTTAAGATTCGAACTATTTCTAAAGATAAACAGTTGATACATTATTTTATCTTTAATTAAAAAAATGCAGGCAAGATGCATAAAGGATGGATAAAAAGTATTCTTCGATTATTTAAACAAATCAGTTTCAAATTTATATCTGGTCTTAGTATTGAAAGTTAATCAGGGGTTAAAAAATCCACTAGCCCGACGCCCGGGACTAGACTTTTACACTTCGGGCAATTAAAACTTGTAACCGAATATGCCCGACAGACTAGTAACAAACAATTCTTGGCATTTCCAAAATAGTAAGTGGAAAATCCCCTCATCACTATTCTACCTTAGCCAATCAGATTCAATTACGTACGTCATCCGGGATTCCAAGAATTTGAACCGATTTTGTACATGTTTTAAAAATAGAACAACTAACTCTGGGTGGACCGGTATCATGTATTGATCGCAATTCACGTACTTTCAATATCAATTTCTCAGTACAGGGGGTATTGTACATTGCTTATGCCGAGATTTTCAATTAATGGTACTTGGGTGTATGATGTAATGATCGATATTGACCTGTCTTGTCGGACAGCTGTTAATTTGAGCTTGAAACCATGCACAAATTATTTCTAAACATTTTAGTACGGCCACCATAGAAACTTTGTCAGTTTCAAAACGAAAAACGGTAGATGAAGGGGTAATGAGGCTGAAAATTTATCCCAAAAAATGCCAAATACGACCAGGAAAAGCGGAAAAAAACATTTATAGTGTCATGGACAGAAAGATTCCCCATGGGCAAGGTCGACTGTTACTGATGATAAACAAGAGATGATGTTTTGTGAATATTGCCGTTATTTTCCTGATCACGCTGATAAAAAGTCTGCTTTGTATGTGGGAACAACAAATATACGAATTGAACCACTGGTTTCACATGACAAGATCAATGAACATGTTTTCTGTGCCCGAAAATATTTAACAACCCATAGTACAAGGGAAATCCAAAAAGATGTCTAGAGATCCTTGTTATAATTAATAAAACAAAAATTTATTTGATTTATTTTATCAAATACCGTGTATAATGCCGCATTCAAAACAAGGGACACCCACTCTAAATTTGTAAGGTATACTCGGGCTAGCAGGTCAGTTTTGATGGGCTAGCAGCTCTTTCAACAGGGCTAGTAAAATCCTGCTACCAATAAGTCCTGGGCTAGTGAGCTGTAACAAATTTTTTTAACCCCTGTTAATTTATACTCATTATTCCACTCTATTTTTGTGATTTGTTGGGTGTTTTTTTTGGCAATTTCAAGTCATGAACTTTTTTGTGCTGTGGTTGATACCACGCTTAAAGGAGTAAGTGAGATTTTTACATCAGTATTGTTGATTTGCACAAACCTTTTGCCAGGGGAATATTTTTGCACATTTTATGTGATATCAAAATCAGCAATAATAACCCCTATGCAAAAATGTACACTTTAACACTTTAACACAGTATATATATTTGGAAGATTTATTGACTGATAAGTTTAAATTTGAAATTTAAAGGAAAATTAAATTCAACTTGGAATTATTTAAAAAATTTTGCTCAAAAAATGAAATGTACATTTATGGTGATTGACTTTGGACAATTTTACGGTTTTTAATGATGATGAAAAAAAAGGTCAAGAGAATTCAATCAATTAATAATATCTTTTTGATAAAATTCTGATTTTTAGTTGAAATATACAGTTAAAAGATGTAAACAAAGAACACTATTGTCCATCCACTGTTCCAATATTTTTTTCAGAAATTTATTGCCAAGTTTCAACCTTCTGGTAATTGAAAAAACTGACACTTATCTAATCTTTTTCTGTTGCATCCTGTTACTTATTTTTCTCTGCTTTCTGGTTTCAAGGATTCTATACAAATTTAACATGCAATTTGGAAAACTTAACTTGTCCATAAAATGACCAATACAATATACTAGCTTGTTTTTTCTCCTGCTCATATATGAAGTAAGAAATGGATGTAGCAATACAGGAATAATACAGCTTTTTACTAGTTGAATTATGAAAATTATTTTGAATTTTATGTCTTTAACTTGTTAAAACAGCATATATCAATATTCATTTGAGTCATTGACATCAAAGACAGCCATTGTCCATTTCAAAGCCTCAATTTCAACTCAGATATTTAACTTAGGTCAACTTATTTAGCTTTGCTGCAATGACTTTCAATATTTTATTGTAGAAAGTTTAGGTTTCAGTCACTACCCAAGAGTCTGGATGTGGGTTCTTCAATTCTGTAATTTTTCATTATTTAGGCTATTTTTTTCTACTCTTAATATATTTTAACACCATATTGTTCTCTATTCTTTATTTTTTTTGCCAATTATTCACTATCCTGTTTACTCTATCCAAACCTCCTTGTCTTGATATTTGTCCATAAATATGTCAACATAAAACTCTAATTTATCGCTGCTTTTGATTTTAGGTCAGATACTGCTAGAAAATATAAAGCCAAAATGAGTGAAATAGAATTAAAAAGGATTGAATTAATGAGACTGAATCAGGAATATGAATCTAAAATGAGATCAAAAGAGGTTTGTATATATATATGTATTATTACAGTGAAAACTGAATTTCTCTTATTTTGTGTGCAGTGAAACTAGTTTTTACCCATTGATTAAATTTTGATAAACAGCACATTGATTACTACTAGGGAGTGTTTAACAACCTTGACTACCCTTGAGGGTCTCTCAAGGTAGGTTATTGATTAAATTGTATCCTGTCATTTCCCACCATTTCTACTCTGAACACCGCATTCATAATTTTCCATTACATCATTTATAGAGAAATAGATTTTACCACTTCATATTGTTTATTATAATATGTATCCACTGTACATAGTTAAATTTTAAAATGCTTGGTAAAGCTTGCATTTAAAAGTATGAAAATTTAACTATATCTAGTTTTCCTTTGTTGTATGACAACTCTGTAGGTTTCATAGAATTTATTAAAACTTGACAATTATATCGCAAACTATAAATAATCATTGTTGTTGTGTTTGTGAGTTTGATAACTTTGGAAGTGGTTGCCCTGGATTATGGGACTTAGCCCATTAAAATTCTCTTTTTTCATACCTTTTTATGATAACTGCATCAAGATTTTATAGAACTGTGAGAACCAATTTATCTGTGTGTTTTTGAAATGAAAACCAAAAGGGGTGAGTTGTTTTAGTAATTAATACTTATATTGTTAGTCGTTTTTCACATGTATTGTATTATCGTTTTTCTTGGAAATTGTCTTTTTGGTGTCTTCTGCCCCTTTTTTTATATGGTGTTTTTTTTTTGTAGGAAGAAGAGCACAGATTACAACAGGAACTGACAGACTTAGCCATTACTTTAAATATGGAGGCTCAGAAAGGCAGGAAACAACAGTTTGATTTGAACAAGTATGTACCCATTCATATATAAATAAGAAGATGTGGTATGAGTGCCAATTAGACAACTCTCCATCCAAGTCACAATGTGTAAAAAGTAAACAATTATAGGTCAAAGTATGGCCTTTAACACAGAGCCTTGGCTCACAACTAACAGCAAGCTATAAAGGGCCCCAAAAAGACTAGTGTAAAACAATGCAAACAGGAAAACTAACGGTCTAATCTATATAAAAAACAAGAAACACTTATGAACCACACCAACAAACAACAACCACTGAACAACAGGCTCCTGACTTGTTTTTACATCAACGGTACCAATTTTACTGCACCAGATGCACATTTCGACAATAAATGTCTCTTCAGTGATGTTTCAACTCATGTTTGAGGCCAAAATCTTTGAAAAATCCAAAACAAACTTATTAAAAATATTGCAGAGCTTATATAAAACCAAAAAAGACAAAAAGTATAGTCAAAGCCTGACAAGTAATCAGGGGAGATATGTTCCTCAATTTAAAATTATATCCAAAGTAGGAATTTTAATATGTGCAAGTTATAGACATTATTTCTCATAATAATTATGATTATGTGAAAAAAAAATAATGTCAATAATGATAAAAACAAACATACAGATATGAGTTGTTGATTCTGTTAAGGTTTAACAATTTTTGTTATTTCAGAGAGAAGAAGCGACAGGAAACCAACAAGATTAATGAAGACGTATCAGCTGACAAATCTGTAGAAAATAAAATGATGTAAGTATAAATTAAAGGACATGGACATCAACCCAACAACACAATCAATCAAACAATATAGAGATCAACATGTACAGTCTTTAATTTTTATTGAATTTTTCATGTTGTGAATGTGAAAATTTTTTGCTTGGGATAAATTTTTGCTTTGCTCCTTTAGTATTTGAAATGAATACATGAATATTTTTTCTGTGTAAAGAGGTTTTGTTATATAGAAATATTAGAAAACTCACAAATGCTCATGAAAATGTTGTGAACTTCATCAGTGATTAAATTTCCATATACTCACTTTTACAATAATCATATTTTATGAATTTGATAAAGCTGAAAATTTTGAAAACAAAATATATTGCTTTACTTTTTTTCATGAAAGCTACATTTTTTTCAAAAGTGTGATTTCAAAATCATTTCCTTGCAGAATTACAATTTACTAATATATTTATGAAAACTAATTTTTCTAATGAATATGAAAGACAAAAACAGAAATGTGATAAAAGGACTGACACATGTACATTAAACAATAAGAATTTTACTTCTTTGGTTTAGAATGCTGCTTTAAATTATTCAACATTTTTTTAAGATAAAAATATGATTTTGCATTTAAAGGAGAATGCTTTGTGACAATCTGTTGCTAGAAAACAATTTTTGTAATTTTGTATATCTTATTCCAATCAATTCTATTCTGTATTTATGTAACTGTTTTTGTTGTTGAATATTCCAAAAGTTGCCAGTTACTATTGAATTCAACACATTTATCTGTCCATTATCTCACATGTATGGTTTTGTTTGATAATCTGAGTTATTTCCCTTGTTACAACTGACAATAGGTAATTTTGAGGTTTCCAGATGATCTAGATAACTATTTATTTCAATTTTATTGTTCATGTATAGTTTAGCACTTACAATGTTGAAACTCAGTACAAAGTTGACCTTTTAAATCATTTTTTGTTTACTTTACTGTTAATTTTATGTTAGAATTTGAGATAGATGACCTATATATATCCTGTATTACATTGGAAGTATTAAAGTGAACCTTAATATGGAGGAATATTTTTTATTTGCAGGAGAAGTGATGGGGATACCAAGGCAGCAGAATCAAACAAAAGAAAATTAAGTGCTGATTTAAATGTAACTAAGTCACATTTAGATATTAAAAAGAGGGATGGTGAGTTTTTTTTCGCAATACATGTATTTAATTTTAAGAATATATGCATATAAAATTCAGTACAACAACAATTTTATAAATAAAGTCGTTTGCAAAACACATATATTCATGTGTATGATACATCAAATTTATAAAAAGATAAAAGGTTCTAGTTCTTCTTTTTGAGACAGGTTAATTTGAGATGAACGCTTTAAAAATAATATTGAAAACTATAGGGGTTGGCGGAAATTTTTTTTGAATGCATTCCCTTTTGAGTTCAAAAAATTTAAGGGAAAGTAAAAAATATGGAACACAAATATCCTTCAGTGATTGAATTGTCTTTGTTTTGTTTTGTTTATTCTGTATTAGGAAATTGTTCCCAAACTATAAATAGTACAATGAATAAAATCCCCTTATTTGGAAGTACATTTACTTCTGCCCGATTACTGCTTGTCGAATAAAAAATCTTTTGCATTTTATTTAAGAAATAATGGTATTCCTGGTGTTGTTGATAGAAGGGAAGGGAAGGATTGAATAACATATGATTAAATGAATAAGTGTGCTACTTTCTATGAAATGTAAAGATACATCATGCTTAAAAACTGTGTTGTATTTTATTTTTAGAAACTCGTCATTTAACAGATACTCAGTTTAGATTAACTGATAATTCTAACACACAAAGACAGTTAAATGAAGCTGCCTTACATGCTGAAATGGATCTCAAAGCTAAACAGATACAACAAAAATTAGAGGTAAGAATATACCTTTATATCATATTTGGCAACTATAGTTTTTGGTACATCACTACCTCTACAGCAAGTTTTATAGAGCTATCTTTCTTATTGGTGAAGTATTTTAAAATTAAGTTTTCAGTGCTGGTTTCTATTTTTGTAAGCCTGTCAATGATGGACATATTATGGTACTTGTTGTCTGTCTATCCATTTGTATGAGTGCTTCCCCCAATAAAACAATATAAAAAAACTTAACGAATTCTATTGCCTGGTATTTTTCCCATATGGCTTAACAAGGAATTTGTAAGTGCCCACTAATATTTATTCTGTAAATATATATATAATGATATTAACAAATAGTATGAATATACCATTGAAAGTATTCAAAGAATTAAAACAGGTATAAACAAAAATATTAGAACTGAACCTTAAAACTAAGAAATAGAAAAACCAACTTGTAAATATATATCTAATAGTGCAAGACATTCGCACGATCAAACAGGTATGAATAGATTTTACAGGTAAGAAAGGATTATTTGGCAGTAACTAGAAAGCATGCAGGTTAAAAGGTGTGCTTGATTCGTGTTTGTCATTCATCAAGCATCAGTGCGATATGATAATGAAGATGACATATGAAATATGATATGAAAACATGTATAACATAGAAAACATGATTAACAATAATAAACATAAGGAAATATTTCATGTGGTGACATATCCAAAACTTTTTATCAGCTCTTTAAAAAGTGTAACTTTAGGGTACGTTTGCCTCTTTTGGAATATGGAGTAAATGACTATTTTTCTTGACAAAATACAAGAATGTTTGAGAGCTTTCTCCCTTTGAATCAAGCATATGAACTCTGATCCTTCAATATACTTTAATTTAAATCTAACTAAGCCCTTCTTGACATCAAATACAAAAAAGGGATGGTACTTTTTACTAAATATGTGCATAAATAGGGATTTTCCCCAGTTGTAATTTTATTTTTCGAAATTACCCCTTGTGTTTTAATTAAAACTGTTTCATAGCATTTTAAGATATGTGATGTTGTATTATCAAAATTTGTGTTTAACAGTGAAAAAATGTTAAATAGCAGTATTTTCTGCCGTTTCTATTTTTGGGTTTCACAATTGCTATTAACTACTGAAAAATTACAGAAAATTGTCAACTTCTCATTCTAGAAAATTCATTTTCCAAGATATTAAGAAAATGGAATTGCAAAACCCTTATTCAGGAAAACATCTTGCAATATTTTCTGTTAATAGCTCTCTCTCTCTGGTGTTATTGTTCATTCAGTATATCCTGTCAAATCAATGAATCTTATTAGAGTTATCTATCTTTGGCTTAGGATCAATACAAAATTATCATAGTGGAAAAACAAATGTAAATGTACACGTACATGAACCTCCAACTTGTAAGAAATTTTTAAAGTGATAGATATTTTAGAAATAATATTAAGTTAGACATTTCAAAAAGGATCAAATGTCTAAAAATATGTCTTACAGTCTGACATTTTTATGTTAAATCTGGGATAAATATTTGCATGTGTATGACACATTCATATAGATTTTATCATTTTTATATAGTTTTGATTGCTTAAACATGTAAACATCCTCAATGAAGATATGTAGAGATTCATGTTAAAATTAAAACATAAATTATCAAGCAAACTATTGCTATAACTGTACATTATGAATGAAACATTTTTTTTTCACTGCCATTAGAGTGTGTCATCTATCTTTTATAGTTTACAGGCTCAATTTTTTTGAACTCATATGTTAACCTTGGCATATCTGACTAAAAAAAACGATTATAGCAATTATTGTAAGAGAAGTTACTAAGTTGAAAAACTTGTGTCTAATTCATTTGATCATTTTAAAATAAAATTTGTTTAAACTAATTATAGGTGAACACACTCATAGTTAGGTTGATTAAGTCATTACCAAATTAGAAAGATCCATCCAATAACATCCTGAAAGGCCAAGTTGGCTTTTCTCATTACTTGGCGTCCATCACCCGTTGTTGTATGTCGTCGGCGTCCGTTGTCGTTAAACTTTTACAAAAATCTTCTCCTCTGAAACTACTGGGCCAAATTTAACCAAACTTGGCCACAATCATCATTGGGATATCTAGTTTAAAAAATTCGGCTGATGACCCCGCCTGCCAACCAAGATGGCTGACATGGCTAAAAATGATCAGCAAGACAAGTTCTACAAATAAGTTCAATGGTCTTAATCATCAGTCGACTCCTTATTAGAGTTATTGCTCTTTGATGACGATTTTTAGCATTTTTTCGCATTTTTGCCTTATATCTTAAAAATTATAGTAGATGGATAGAAACTTAAATAAGCAAAAATAATTAGCAAGACAAGATCTACAATTAAGATAATGTGGAGGAAATCGTCAGACGGTTTTGCCTTACATGATATAAATTATAATGAATAGTCGCTTTAAATCACAAAAGGATCAACAAGGCAAGTTCTACTAACAAGTCAAATTTTGCCTATATTGTTCATAGACTGTCACTCTTTATAGGAGTGATTGCCCTTAAATGAGGATTTTTTTCACCCTCTTTTGTGTTTTGAGAAAATCTAAAGAAGATATAGAGAGAAACTAAACAGTCTAAATGATCAGTAATACCGATCAACAAAACAGAGATTTTTGTCATGAATTCTATTCTCGTCTACAATGTTGGAGAGTGTCCTTTGTTAAATATGCACTTAGACCAAGGTGAGCGACACAGGCTCTTTAGAGCCTCTAGTTTTTAAAGTGGTCAAAATTACTTACCTGAACCATATTGTGTTCATGATTACATCTGTATTTGTATGTTGTTAATACAGAATTTGATAATAAAAAAAAAAACAACAAAAAATGCTGAACCTTTAAGGTGTGGTGTTTTCAGGGATGATGCTCCTTGCAAAGAGGTATTGAATTTTTTTTTTTGAAGTTTAAACAATTTTTATACGCCTGTCAAATTTTTGACGGGACGTATTATGGTATACAAATGTCCGGCGTCCGTCCGTCTGTCTGTCTGTCTGTCTGTCTGTCTGTCGGTCTGTCTGTCAGTCTGTCTGTCTGTCTGTCCGGCGTAAACATGTCGCACGGTAACTTGAGAATGACTTATCCAAATTTCATGAAACTTTACATAGTTGTTTCTTATGATGGTCAAACGATCTGTATACTTTTTGGTGAAAATAAGATTAAAACTTTTTGAGTTACGGGACTTAGTAACTAAAACAGGTGTGTGTTTTTTTTCACATGTCGCGCCGTATCTCAAAAACAATTTATGATTATTGCTGAAAACTTTACACACGTCTTAGTTATATTAATCTTAAGATCTGTATACTTTTTGGTGATGATTCAAAATTTTATTTTAGAGATATTGAGTATTTTGTTAAAAAAGGGGGAGGGGTTTTTCACATGTCGCGCCATATCTCAAAAACAGTTTATGATTATTGCTTAAAACTTTACACACTTCTTAGTTATATTAACCTTAAGATCGGTATACTTTTTGGTGATGATTCAAAATTTTATTTTTGAGTTATTGAGTATTTTGTAAAAAAAGGGGGAGGGGTTTTTCACATGTCGCGCCGTATCTCAAAAATGATTTATGATTATTGCTTAAAATTTTACACACTTCTTAGTTATATTTATCTAAAGATCTGTATACTTTTTGGTTTTGATTCAAAATTTTATTTTTGAGATATTGATTTTTTTTTTTTTAAAAGGGGGGTTTTCACATGTCGCGCCGTATCTCAAAATCAATTTATGGTTATTGCTTAAAATTTTACACACTTCTTAGTTATATTAGTCTAAAGATCTGTGTACTTTTTGGTTTTGATTCAAAATTTTATTTTAGCGATATATATATGTAAAAAAAAAAAGGGGGTTTTCGCATGTCACGCCGTATGTCAGAAACTATTTATGCTTATTGCATAAAAATTCACACACAAGACGACGGGCGTATCATGCGCTCATGGCGCAGCTGTTTATTGTAAATGTGAAATCTGGAAAAAAAACAAGTTTATATATATATATATATAAAGCTAAGCTGTTATCTTGCAATCAGATGTATATACTTAAACTATTCTGTTTTGTATGCTATTAAAATTTGGCAGATGGGGTTTTTCTTTGAAACACCCTCATTATGCATTATATGCTTTAAAATTGGTATTTGCTGGTTCTTGGCAAAGCATGTGACATTTAGGAATATAAGCAAAGAATGATTGGCTTGGAGTCAGTATATACTATATTGATGACTATTGTGTCCAGGTATGGGGTCATGCCTTCTTTCATTCGTTACCCTGTGTGTAAGCATAAAAAAGATCTGGCTCATTGTGTTTTTTAGTACAAAGTAGTGTATATTTGTATTGAAAGCATGTTATCTTTCTGACTGAAAATGTATGAAATATTTGTCAATGGACTCAAAGAATACGTCCATCCATCCCCCATTATTTGCTCCATAAAATGTTTGCATTATTTTTTGCATTATTTTTTGTGGATTTGAATATTTTTTTGGTTTAATAGACCAGACAATATAATCATTTGTACCAAATTTGAAATTTTCCATTTAATCTGATTTGAAGTGCTTACAAATGTCTAGGTTATATTCCTGACAGTTTAAGGCAGGTAAATATTCAGCCGTTGATGAACCTAACAGTTTTTACTGGACTTTTGCAGATGTTATTCAATTGGTCTTTAGAATATAACTGGACCAAACCAAATGTCTATGCAATCTAAAGATTTTCTGATAGACTATTAGAAGCATTTCAATTTAAAATACCAAAGTTTTGTTTTGAGTTTTAGAGTTAAATATCTTTTGATGATACTGTGAGCATGAAAAAGGTTGAGAACAATAATTATATTTATCAGTGATTTATACATTTTCCCTTTGATCTTACTGCTTCATAGTTTTCTTGATCATGGACAGGATCTGATACTCAAAACTATTTGGCAATGAAATCACATATCAGTTAAGAAACCTCACACGTTCATATCAATCTGCATTAATTTATCAATG